CCATTAACATCAGGGCCTGAAAAGAAAGCCCTGGGACAGATGGCAACATCAGAGATTCGACCCCCAGGCACATCTCTGGGTGAGAACTGGCTTTTTCAACGTCCAAGCATTCCTCTTGCTGCTTACCTTCCTGAATTGAAGAGGCTGGAGAGCTGAAAATTCCGTTTCCCAGATTCCCTTGCAGCCAGGGAACTGAAGCCTCTAAGGCTCACCCATCAGCTGTGTCCACAAGACACTTGTGCTTGTGCTGAGTTAAGGAAAAACGGCCGAACACAGGAGACTGACTGGCCTGGAGGTGAGCGGGGCCTCCTGATCCCGTGGCAGTGGCTCCCCGGGGCCCAGGCCTGCAGTGTGGCTCCCTCAGCCCTCCCGAGATTCTGTAAATGCTCACGGTGTTATCAGTTATACCCTAGGAAATTTGAGCAAACTCAGGGAGACAGTGGAGGACAGAGGAGCCGACATGCTGCAGTCCACTGGATTGCAAAGAATCCGAAGGACTTAATGACTGAAAACGATCAGTCACACCCAATCAGGGAAGCAGCTAGACCCAGCCCAGGTGGCTGGGGTATGGAGCTAGTGATCAAGAACCCACCTGCTGATGCAGGAGATGCAAAAGATGGGAGTTCGAGCCCTGGGTGGAAAAGATCCCCTGGAGGAAGGCATGGCAACCCACTCCAGTATTCTTGCCTGGAGAATCCTATGGACAAAGGAAGCATGTGGTCCATCGGATCACAGAGTCAGACACGACTGAAGCAACTTAGCACGCACACACACATGCACAATTTATTACGAGAATTATTAATAAGCCTTATATGTCAGCATGTGGGAGGAGGTTGAGAAGTGAGGTCTGAAAAGGGACTTGTGGAGCCACCAACCAGGCAACTGAGAGGCCATGGGGTCCATCTGGTCACCAAGTGAGGCTGCCGAGGGCCAACAGTAGGGAAATGGACCGGGGACCACTGCGTCTGCAGCCAAGCGCCCAGTGACAGGCCAGGAGCTGATGCCCGGGAGCCAGGAGAAAGACATGGACGCAGCCCAGAGGACAGCAAGGACACGCCGGAGCCTGCAGCTACTTGTCACCACATCAAACCGCAGCGACCTTGTAAGAGGACAGACTACTGCTCCCCGTCCACTTCCAAACTCTCTCCCAAGTTACTTTTGGTCAATTTCTACATGGGAACCAAAGAAAGGGATTCTGGGAAATGTAGTCCCAGCCTAGCCAAATAAACAGTGGCGCACAGACCACTTGGCTTACTAAATCCTTCTGCTTCAGTTAGTAGGGTGACTTCTGCTCAGGAAAACTGACCTGACTGATAAAGAGACTTTGGACAAGTCGGCAGTGGGTAGACTTTTTTGCCAATGCTTTAATTTCCCATCTTACGAATCTGCACTAAAAACAGCCTGAATCTCACTTTCCCAGCCTCCCTTGCAGTCAGAATGTAAGCATGTGACCTAGGCTCAACCAATCAGGTACACCCAGATGGTACCAGGCTCAGCCAATCAAATACATCCCAATGGTACTTGGGCCTCAATTAGCTACAGCCACACAGAATGTAGGCTTAGCCAATGGATACACCTACAGGTGAAAGCAATGCAAGCGGATTCTGATGCGTAGAATTCAATCTAGAGAAAGTGGAAGAGACGTAACTAGTGTTACTAGTGACAGCCGCTGTGTCTGGACCTAGTGGTAGTGACAGGAAGATCCTGCAATATAATTTGTATATTGTTCATGGCTGTCTCCAGCCCTCCCTCCCAGAGATCTGAATCACTTAATATCCTAAGTTCCTTTCCTGCTCAGACTTACCTATAATGGATTCTGTTGTTCTCAAGTAAAAACCTGACGCCCCTCTAACTTCATTTAACCATCAAGTCTGTTTCCCAGCCTAGACAAAGAGGGGAACAGTGTCCACTCCCAGGGGCCATGGAGTCAGGGAGAGGCATTTTGTAAACTTACCACAGTGCCACAGACTCTGGGCCAGTGTCATCTGAGGGGGTCACAGACCTGGGTCATGAGTCAGGCAGACTGATTTGAATCCTGGCTCTGGCGCTGACTGATCTGTTTTGTGACCTTGAGCAGATCACTTTCTTCATCTGGAGAATGGACTGGGATTAGTGCCTGCCTCGTGGGGTTATCATGGAGACCAAAAGATTCCAGAAAGGAGCAGTCTCTCAGCACACAGCTCAGGGTGCAGGAGGCACCCACACTAGTGATGCTAGAAGGAATACAAGTGACCTTTGTTTCCCTGGATTAAAGAAAATAAGTAATAATAGAGGCGGTGCCCTGATGGAGTCCAAGATGAAGATGGTCTGTGAACACCGAAGGTTAAAAAACATTTACAGGTTTAAAACCCAACCTTGACTAATGTCACTGAATCGTACACTTAAAAAATGGTTAAGAGGAAAAATTTTGTTACATCTTTTACACCATTTTTTTTTAAAATGTAAAGTACCCAAAGCAGTTATACCCTTTAAATACTATCTAAATAAAGCTTTGTAAAATACCAACCACCCTGGCTTCCCAGTTCCTTCTGATCGTAATTCAACCCCCGCACCCCCCGACCTCTCTTCATCCTCTGACCTCATCAACCCCACCTCCAGCGCTGAATTCCCTCATTCTGGCCTCACTCGCCTCCCTCTTCTTAGAAGATCCAGACGCCCCCTCGGGTCTTTTTTATTTGCTCCCCCTTCTGCCTGGGATGTCATTCCAATCAGGTTACAGGCTCTGAGATCAGGCTGCCCATCAGAGTCACCTGAGGCGCTTTATGAAGGCCCAAGCCCCACCTCGGAGAGTCAGATGTCATTACTTGGGGAAAGAGGGTGGCGCCTGGACATTTATTGGCTTGTTGTTTTAAAACGTGCCGGGCGCTTCTAATGTTCAGCCAGCGTTAAGAAATCACTGCCCAAGACATCACGCTCAGTCCCCACCATCTTTAGGCTTCAGTTCAAAGGCCAGCTCTCCAAGAGGCCGTCCCCAGTCACACCATCTACCTCCCTTCTGTATCCTCATTCGATTCTATCCCCTCTAAGATTCTATCATATACATATCTCACTGCTTCCCAGTGAGAACGTCAGGTGGATAAGTGGATGAAGGCAGAGGCTGGGTCCTCAGTGCTTGGTTCACACAGGTGCCCGGCACACAGCTGTTGCCAGAGTGAACCTCCACCTGTCCCCCTCCCTCCTGGGTCTAGCGCCAGCTCTAGGGGCTGCAGTTCTTCAGGGAGGCCACGAGGTGGCGATAGTGCCTGGCTGCATTAAAGGGCATCCCTAGACCCACCAGGCCAGCTGGGCAGGGTGTGGGTCCCCATCCCGCCCTGTGCCTGGCCATCGCTCAGAGACAGGGGCAAGGGCCACGGCAGACAGCATGGGGCCCTCCCTCCCCTCCTCATTCCTAGACTCAGAGCCACTGAGCCCTAGAAACAGTCCACTCAGACTAAAGTCAGAGAAAGCCCCGCTGCCCCGTCTGGAATCTCCAAGTCCTCCCCCTCTTTACCTGGCCACTCACTGAGCCCTGCATGTAACCTGGGATGACTCCCACAGGCCCCTCAGCTAGCTCATGACCTGCACACAAGGCAGGTGTGCTGGCCATGCCTGAATATCCATCAACTGGGGGCTGTGACACGCACTGTCACCTTCCACATGGCAGGCTCCCACACCCACGAAGAAGAACAAAGAAGCTCTTGGATGGTCCTCTCTAAACCAGTCCCATTCCATTCCTTTCACAGCATCGGCCGGGGATGGCCTGAGGGGCCAAACCATGCCCTGCTCTTGTCCAGCCATGAGCTGAGGAGAGTTCACATGTTTAAATGACTGAAAAAACAAAACCAAAACAGTTATGTGACCCACGAAGATGAAATGACCAGGGTGTGCCTGGGCACAGTCAAGGTCACAGGTTGCCCACAGAGCTCCTTGTAGCTCAGGCTGCCATCCTGCCCACAGAAAGACAAATTCACTCCCTCCCAGTGTTCTTCCAAGACTGACCCAGGATTTCCCTTCTGCCTCCATCTGTCAGTAAATCCCCAAGAACTGGACTTCCCAGGAAAGCTCCCAGTGGGAGCCGTTATTTATAATATGGAGAGAGGGGTTTCTGACCTCGTGTGGCCCTGTCTCCGTGTTTGGTCCAAACCTGACACGGCCATCCTACACAAAGGGAAAACTGCAAATTCGAGGACGACCAAAGCATTTTTCCAAAACAGTTTAATTAAAAAAAGGTGAAGAATCTGAAAAAATTAGGGTGTGGGGGGAACCCAAGAGAGCATACCGCGGGAGTCCACTGGCTCAGTCACAAAGAAACACCATCATCAAAAAAGATATTTAAGTTTAATACAAATTTTATACAAAGAAAATGTGAAAAAATACTTCCATATGCTAAAAGCAATTATGCTTCACAAATAAGGCCAGCTAGGCTAGTTTTTTTTGTTTGTTTTTTTGACAACTGCAATCGACAAATGTACTTTCCTGTTTTCTTCTAGGACTCTCTCTTTTATTTCTTTTCTAATATGGGTAACTAGCTGGAAACTGTACAGTTCACATCCTCTTATCAACAATGAAGAGAAAGGAAACAAGACTAAAATGTACAACAGAATGTACTGGAATGATATCGTACAATTAATTTTTCTCATATACATACATCACCTTTTTGCGTTGTTCAATGCTTCTTGTTTTACACAACATACAAAATGGTACTACAGCATACGTAGTGTAACAGACAGCACGGCGGTGTCCTGCTTCCCCTCAAACTGCCTTTGTTTCATGCTGACATAAAAACGTAAAATTCCATCGTATAAATATTACATACATGCTTCATCTCAGACTCAAATGTCCTCCGCGTGCGTCTCGCCTTTGACTTCTCACTTCCGTGAAGCACGGCCATCTCTTACCAAGCGGGTGTGAGTGTCTTTAAAGGAACCACAAAGCAAAGAAAAACTCTCGTTTTGGAGCTTCTGACTCGAACGCTTCCTACGGTCCCCTCTTCTGCCAACTGAGCTGAGCAGGGCTTGTTTCTAGTTAATCTTCTGTAAACAAGGATGTGGGGTTTTTTTGTTGTTGTTTTTTTTTTTTTCTTTTTTCCCTTTTATAGGAGTAGAGTCATCGTGGAAATCACATAAAATTAACGAGCTCCTCCATGTGTCCTTCTGGTCCAGAGAGCTTGCCTTTTGTAACATGATAACGTAGTATTTGAAAGGGGCCAATGGGTGCATGTGATGTGTCCACAGCAGCACCGAATTCTGTGCTGGAAATTCCTGATCCCAATGTGCCGTGTGCAGACATAGGAATGGAAACAGCTCACGGGGCATCAGAGGAGAGCTGTGCGCCAGAGTGAGCCCCGCGCCCTCTCGCACCCCTGTGACAGACGGGCTGGATGACCATCCTCTCTCCAGCATCCATTCTTTTTGTTGTTGGGTGTGTTTTCTGTTTTTTATTGTTTTTTTTTTCTCCCTCTTTTCTTTTTTTTTTATAAGTTAAAGTCAATACAAATATAAAAAGGGGAAGGTACTCTAGTCTCGATGACATCCACAAATTGTACATTATTTACATCTAAAGCAAAGGTTTCACGTGGGTGGAACAGTCCTCAGTCAAGGCTATCGCCGGACATGATGTAGTGTGGGCGGCGCTCCGTGCCGGATGCAGAGGCCGCGTCTGAATGGCTGGCATCCTCCAGTCCGAGGGTGGCGGTCTTCCGGTCTCACGTTTCTTTGCGGTTTCCGGTTTCCCCGGTGTCTGGGATGTTTCTCTCCATGGGGTGGGCGGCTTGTGTCCCAGCGTGTCCCTAGTCCCAGAAGGTGTCCAGGCGGGACTCTTTAGGGATGAGGCTCTTCGAACTGGTACCGGCATTGTGCTCGGAGCGGGCCGACCCTCGCTTCTCCTCGCTGCCGCTCCAGCAACTGGATTTACTGCTCCGGGAATGGTCTGGGGAGGGGGGAAGCCAAGGGGAAAGGGAGCTTTAGCGTCCCTGCCCACCCCTAGCCAAGGGCAACCATCCCCTTCTACGTGATCTGCACCTGCTCCCCCAGGAAGCCACCTTCCCCTCCCGACTCCCCACAACACACAGGGGCAAAATCCTGCCACGGTTTACTGCCCTGCATTTGGGGGATCTGTAAGCATTTAACAAGAGCTGGTTGGAAAAACGGGGGCATCATGCTCAGAGAAAATAAAGACAAGTGGGGGAAAGGTACTAAATTATCGAGGAAGATGTTTCTTATGTGCCACTTAGGACCAGGCACGCTTGCTGCATGAGCAGACGCCAAGTACCCCATGTCCTTGGCCACTAAAAGAGACACTGAAATTTGGCGTTCAATCTACTTACTTATGTTAATGGGGTTTCTTTAATCATTGCACAGGCAACTTGAAAAAACAGACTTAGATCTAAACCAGCCACAGGGAAAGGAGTGAGGACCAGAATGGTTAAGCCCAACTGGCTCCCAGTAAGGACAAGCTTAAAGGTCAACTGAAGGATGCAAGAAGCAGAGTAAGACCTAAGGGAACTTCGAGGACGTGTGCGTCGTAAGGAGCTACCATCGTGGATGAGGAAGATGTGAGGACACTGAAGGAAGAGCCAAAGGAGGTGTCTGTCCAGCTGGGAGACAGTCCAGCCTGCAGGCTCGGCGGGATGGCCGACTCTGAGAGACCCACCAGCACATCACTGAGATCCCATCATATCCTAGATCATTTACCAAGTTCAGACAGGTTGGGACAAAACTTTTTTTAACTTCTTGAGGTGGGATGATAATATTTGATCTTTCAAAAGAAGTCAGCCATCAAGCTTAGAGACAGAATCGGGGTGAGGGAGCAAGGGACCGGATCATCGCCTAGAAGGGTGACTGCTCTTATCATCGCCTGGTGACAGGCAGGCGTGTGTGTGGTCCTGAGCTCTTCTGGAAGAGAAGCAGCAAAGACAGTGAGGAGGATCTCCCAAGCCCTTGATTCTCTCAGGAGGGGACGCTTCCTCATCACTTGCACCTGTGACCCAAAGGGGGTGCTATTGCGGTGGGCAGAGCTGGGGTCTAGGGTCGAGCTCTCTTACAGTCCTTGAATCCACCTCTTCTTACATGTTCTTCCCTACTCGTGACACCTACACTGTGGATGCTCTGGAAGGTCAGTGATGCAGGTGGTCATCACAACACGGAAACTGACAACAATGCAGTAAAGTCACACTGGAGTCTCCCCAGCTCTGCTGAAGGCAGAGACCAGCTGGGCAGCAGGGCTTAGCTTACTTAGCAGAGAAGCCGCATCCCAGAGCCAGGCTGGCCACCCGAGTAACTGCAGTCTGACCTCTCCCACCGACAGGACAGGGCGTGCTGGCTGGTTCAGCCAGGCACTGCAGAGGACAATGGGTGTGACTCCAGGACTCATCATGAAAAGACCAAGGACAAAGTCCCTTCAAGAAGCCAGATCGGGAATTCCCTGGCAGTTCAGTGGTTAGGACTTGGTGCTTTCACTGCCAAGGGTAACAGGTTCAATCCCTGCTCAGGGAACTAAGATCCCATGAGCTGCACAGCATGGTCAAAAAAAAAAAAAAACAAAGAAGCCAGACTGTCTGTCCTGGCGCTCTTGCTTCCTACTGCAGTTTCCGATGGTCATCAGAGGCACTAATGCGAGCAAGAAACCAGGCAAAGCCAAGACCCATCACTCGGGAGAACAGAAGACACGCCCACAAAGGAAACACACACAGACACACACAGGACGAGCCCTCCGCCTGCCGGGAGCAGCTCCCCGGCGGCTCCCGTGGGGCGGGTTCATACTTACACTTCTGGGCTGGGTAGTTGGGGTGCGGCTGGTGGTCTGTGGTGGTTGGGGCAGAGGCAGGCTGTTTGTCGCACCTGTTGCTAACTGAAGAGACAGCACAGGCCCCCTCAGAGTCTGGCGGAGAGCTGAGTCCGCCAACCCCATGGGCTCGCTCTCCTGCTCATCAACAAGCTACTGGTCTTAGCACTGTGGGGGGGGCTGCTGGGTCGATGTCACCGTTTTCCAACTCAAGGCATGCATAGGAGACTAAGGCTTTCAAAAATGCATATTAAAACCATGAACAGGATCACTGGACACAGCACGAGATTACAGGTGGAAATAAGGCATACAATGACATAAAAGCAACCACGTGAAGCCATCAACTCCCAGAATTTTGACAGCAAATTTTTCTCGGAACCACTAGCTCTACCAAGAGCTTAATTCAGGCAGAGAAACGGGAGGTGCCGGCTCCACCACACTGAGGTGGGAAGGCTCCGCCCAAGGAACCCAGATTATTTAGGGCAAGTATAATCACGAATCTACTGCCAAGGCTGATGACAGGTCAGGAAAGAGAGGGTGATGGAGGTGCATGTGGCAAGAAGGACTGAGGGGGGAGCCACAGGTGAGAGTTCGGTGGGCCGCTCCTCAGCCACGATGGGACACCAACACAGAATCGTCTGAAATGGAAGAGCCGGGGAAATCGCTGAAGACACGATACAGGGGGGAGCAAAAACCTCCAGGGAAAAGCAAGGCTACACAGAGATGGAAAGGTATTCACAGTGCCCTGTTTGACTCTGCAATGAACGGCACGACCATAATGATGGAGACAGATGAAACCTGCCAACCTTGAAGACTCAGCCAACAGCCGGAACTGAGAAGGACCAACTGCAGTTACAGACGAGAATGCGCACGTTCTCCACCTTGAGAGTGGGGAAGTCAGAGCAGGAGGATGGAAAAGTCTGAATATGACTGTGGAGGAGAGGTGAGGGAGGCGGTGAGCACCAAGAGAGGGGTCCAGGGACACTGTTTCCTCCAGCTGGAGATCAAGGCCTAAGGAGTAAGTGTTGAACTGGACCAAGGGAACCCACAGAGCACATCAAACAGTGACAGAGTGGTCTGGGAGAGAGGGGAGAAGAGAGTTGACAAGTGACCCTGATTCTCACCTAAAGCCAGAAGTCAACAAGCAATGTCTAGATAAAGTCGAGAAACAGAAATATGGGGAAACAAGTTATTTATAAATAAGTACCAGCTGCAAAAGATAGCCATGGAGACTGAGATGAGGAACTGTTTTTCCCTGTACAATTTTCTCTTGACTAGTCATCCCTTGTTATCAGGGATGGTACAGCAGATTCATTCTAGGACCCACCATGGATACCAGATTCCATGGATACTTAAGTCTCATGGTCAGCCATCCACATCCACAGATTCAACCAGCTACAGACTGTGTAGAACTGTATTCATTATGGGAAAAAAAATCCACACAGATGTGGATCTCCGTGGTTCAAACCCATGTTGTTTAAGAGTCAACTCGATAGGCATGCATCACTTTAAAATCTTAAAATGAAGAGACAAGTGACCAGGAGAGGCCAACACCCACCCCGAGGAAGCTCCTATCTCCTATTTGACCTTTTCCCTCCGGACTAGATGCTCATCTTAACCAGCCTGGTTCCAGAAGCCAATAAAGAGCACAGGAACCTCCATGTTTTTGCAAAGCCCACTTTTCTCCAGATTCCTTCTACACTGTCAGCAAGCAGTGAGCACTAACGGAAGCCCTGAGACGTACGAGGAATCAGAAGATGAGGTGGTCTGTCTGCTTTGATGACAACCCATCAGCCAGACGGCTGTGGAGTGCAACAGGGGGCAATGAGGAGCGGTGAGCTCCCAGTCCTGATCCAGCCTCCAAGGCCCTCCGGTTCAGCTCCTTTCAGCTCACGCTCTAGAATAACACTGCAGCGCTCCCTAAAAATTGCTGACAACTCAGTGCCTTTCCCTCCCTCCTCCTCTCGTCATCAGGCTCCCCGGGATGGTCTTCTCCCCACTCCACCCTCCACACCAACTCCCCAGCAACTCGAGTCTCCCTACCTCCCCTCTCCAGCCTCCCCTCCTACCCCCTCACACACCAGGGTGCTGCAGGTCGGGGGTCAGCCAGTGACGGCCCACAGGCCAAATGCAGCCCAACGCCTGCCTTTCCAAGTGCAAGCTCACTGCAGCACAGGCGCATCTGTTTATGTGCCATCCGCGGCTGCTTTCATCCGACAACGGCAGTTCTGATAAAGATGGTGTGGCCCTTGAAGCTTCACCTCTTCTGCTCTCTGATCCTTTACAGAAAGTCTACCAACCCCTGGGCCAGGGAACACCTCATCCACCTCACAGCTGGGAGATGCTCTATCTCCCAACTGTCTTCCTGCACGCAAGCCTCCTTGTCCCACCGGATTCCATACCCCACAGCATCGCCGATCTTCCTAAGGCCCGTTTATCTTCCCCTGCGGATGCCGCCACTCTGCTGCTCAACAGCGCCCCCTGCCGGCAGCAGTGTTTTCCCCAGCTTGAACCCTTCCCCACGCCAACCACCTCTGCAGCTCTGACACATCCAAAATTCTCCTGCTTAGGGCTCAGCTGGTGTTTCTAAACTCACTCTCCACCTAAGTCGAACAGAAACTCTTATATCACCACCAAAAGCAGGAACGCATAATACGTGCCATACACAGCAGGCAACACTACAAATCAACATAATGAAAACCAAACAGGAGCAGGAAGCTCTAGGCGGGTGCCATGCAGCTGAGGTCTCAAGTCTGCTCTGCCTTTGTTAAAAAGAGAAGCTAGAAGAAGGCATGAGGAAGACACCTCCTCTCCAAACTCAACGTGTCCTCAAGATGTTATCACAAGACCCGAGTGAAAGTGAGAAGGGAGTTGACAGGTGGTTCAGTCGTAATTCCATGCCAAGTTCATATTCCCCCTGAGGTCAGCTCATGCCACTCCGCCTTCATGTCCCCTGAGCCCAAACCCCACTTCCAGTGCCTCTGGGAAGTCTCCAGCCACCCTAACAAGGGACATCACTTCTTCCTCTATGTACTCAATATGCAGAAATGAAAAACAAACAAACAAAAAAAAAAGTTTGGTTTTCAACAGAAGAGAATCATCTAGAAGAGGAAAAGACCCTGGCTGGAGCTGAAGGACCCTGAAAGCAGAATAGTTCTCACTGAGGACAAACCCTTTTGGGAGGCCCTGAAAGTGGTTTGAGAGGGTGCAGGGGAAACACCCAGTGGGCTAGAAGACAGCTCAAACTCCGCAAAAGAGGCGAACTAGAAACGTTAGCGCCAGATAACCCACCCACGACAGCCTGCCAGGTTATCCCTCGAGAGGAAAGATTTCTACAGAAAGATCATCTACCTAGAAATGTTTCTTCCCCGTTCTGAAGGCTCAAGTACCCTCCTCCATGAAATGTGGGTGCTGGGACCTCAGAGACAGTTTCACACAGTTTCATTTCTGAGGGCAGAAGAACTGCCCAAACCAAATCCATCTTCTAGCCCACCCCAGGTCAGCAACAGAACCTCTCTGTGTCTTTGGTGTGGAACTCCAAAAAAAAAAAAAATCAAAAACAAGGTCAACACTGATTCACTTGGAGAAATGCCTCAAAGCCGCCTGCCCAGCCACTCCCTCACCCCTGCTGACTGGCCCAGGGAGCCCCCGAGGATCCCTAAGGAAACCCAGTTTGAAAACCACCGCCCTGAACCCTTCAGGCTCTCCCTGAGGACACGGCTCCCCTCTGCCCGTGCGGGACGTGAGCGCGCATTCACCCACCAGAGGGCAACGTACCAGAGCCTTGGTTGGAGCCTAAGAGAATGGAGGAGGGCGTCTCCCTGGAGCCAGAGAGGTCGAGGGTCTAGAAACACAAAAAGAGAGAGATGGAGGCAAGGCCCTGGGTTCAGCGGAGCACCCCCCCGCCCCCCCGGCCCAGGGAAGCCCTGGGATCCATGGGGATGCTTGTCATGGCCCCGCCAACACCTTCATGCTGCCTGCCTGGCGTGCTCAGGGAGGGGAGGCCAGGTCAACTGGGGTGGCCCTACCCCTGTGCCCTTTTCTGCCCTGTCTCCCTAGACACAGGGCTAGGGAGGCCCCTTACTCCACTCTAGAGCCTCAGCTTCAAGGACACTGTTCCTCAACTGCCCGCTCTCTGACCTACTCGCCTCTCCGGATTTCTACCCTATCCCAAAAAGAAGTACAGGCGTCTCCCAGGACCTAAGGTGGAATGGTTCCAGGAGCCCCCAAGGATACTAAAACCCAAGGATGCGCAAGTTCCCTATATAAAATGGCCTGGAAGGACGAATACAACTGTGCCTTTGTATCCGAGGGTTTCGCATTCACGGATTCAACCAAACACAGAATGGAATTTTGGCTGGTTGCAGCTACAGATGAGAAATCCATGGATTCTAAGGGCTGACTACATATTACATCCTATTATATCGATTCACTTTTATTTCACAATAACCTCTTCCTCAGCAATAATATCAATGAAATCAAAGGTTTGACTTCTGGGATGACTTGATGTTTTCCCTAATACACATGAAGCAAAACCATAATGATTACAAGTGTTAAAAACGACCAACATGTCACCTAAAATAATGTCTGCATACAATCCATATACCACACCCTGGGAAAATAAGAGGTGGACCTCTGTGTCCAATATAGCAGCCACCAGCCACCCATGGACATTGCATTTAAATTAGTTCCTATTAAACTAATTTAGTAACATCTGAAATCCAGGTTCTTGGTCACAATGGCCACAGTTCAAGTGCTCAGCAGCCACTTGAGGCTGGTGGCTCCCACAACGGGCAGAGGAGATACAGAACACCCCCATCATCACAGGTTCTACTGGACAACACTTGCCCTCAACACACACCTGGGGAGAAGAAGGCCTGCGGAGACCCCGTCGCCCCCACCTGCAGCCTGAAGACAGACATGCTCCTACAGCACGGGGCTCGCCGTGGCGGCGGGAGGAGGCAGGTCTGAGATTCTGCTTGGCCCCGAGGAGTGTGGGATGGATACTCACCGAGCCACTGTCCTTGCTTTTCTCAGCTGGCGTCTCCTTCTCTTTCGAGGCGCTGGTTTCCGGGGGGGCTGCCTGAGTACTGGAGGAGGCGCCCTGGGATGACTTATTTAGTGTTTCTGTGTTCACCTCGGGGTCTGCTTCCTGCTGAGGGGCGGTAGCTGAGGGCAAAGGGTGACAGAAGCCACATGTAAGCCGAGCATAGTAGCGCCCGGGCCCGCAGGGAACCCTGCTCCGTGCAAACCACCACGTGTTAAGAGATGCCACCCAGCCCTGCCCAGGGCACAGCGCGGGCCCAGAATAGCTGGACTGAAGCCTTCCCAGACACAGGAGTTCCAGACTGTACACGAAGATATGTTCATTTTTCAGAGTCTGTGATTTAAGTTTTATTAAATCATTCTGGAGACGAAAGCATGTTCGTGAAGCAAACAGCTTAGTACGGCTGTTCCAATTACTCATTTCATAATTTCTAATTTTAGACCAGTGTTCACCTCATGCACTCACTTTCACCCTGTAACAGGAGACTTGAGAGGTTTTGACAGACCCCGTGGGCCACAAATCCTCTAAAACATTTACTCTGGACCTTCATAAAAAAAGCTTACCAACCCTTGCCTAGAGTGTCTCACACTTGGGTCGTTCATCTACCACCTTTGAAGAACTTGCCAATCCACTGATACAGTCCCTTGTCATATTATTTATGTTATTTGCATTTAAATAAATTCTTTTAAGTGGAGACTTTTACTTCTAAACACAGAAATCTAATATTGGCCATAAATAAGCGCTAACTATAAAATATTACTAATAAATATTATTAATAAGTTCTAACTAGACAGTGCTTCCTGCTAGAGTCTCCTGGCCTGGGATCTGCTCGCTCTGCATTAGAAAGAGATTTTAAAGACAGATTAGCTCCAAACCAACACTCTGTCCTTTACATAAGAACTGGTGATTGTTTAAAGCCTTGCGTCCAGGATGGGCTCCATGGTGGGGGGCTGTCCTGTGCATTGCAGAACGGGATAGAAGAGGCACTTTATTTCTGTGTGTGTCTGCTTAGTCACTCAGTCATGTCCGACTCTTTGGGACCCCATGAACTGTAGCCTGCCAGGCTCCTCTGTCTGTGGGATTCTCTAGGCAAGCATACTGGAGTGGGTTGCCATTCCTTTCTCCAGGGGATCTTCTCAACCCAGGGATCAAACCCAGGTCTCCTGCATTGCAGGCAGATTCTTTACACCATCTGAGCTACCAGGGACGCCCCCATTTGGTTTGGGCAGACACAGATACTGCCCCCAGTGGAGAACCACAGCAAGCCACAGGAAACTAAAGTCATCTGGGCTGTCAAGGAACCCAGAGGGTGGGGACAATGGAGCCTGGGGACTGGGCTACGTGTCTGCCTGCCGCGGTCTCGTGTGCAGGAGTCACCTGTGGTGAGTGGGCGCGGCGCGTGCCCTGAGGTCCAGGGGGAGCCAAGGGCCGTCCCCCAGGGCCTGGGCCCGGTGGCACTCCTGAGGCCCTACCTGACTGGGTGCAAGACTTCATGTGCTCGGGCCAGTGGGCCTGCTGGCAGGGGTAGTCGCAGTAGCTGGTGTTCCAGCAGCAGTAGAAGATGGCCTCCTTCTTGCAGTTGGCGCACCACTGCTTCTTCTTGGTCTCGTCCACCGCCTGCTGCTTCTCCAGCTCCAGCTGCTTCTTCACCTCGGCGATGAGCCGGTCCCGCTCCTGCTCGAGGCTCTGCCTCATCTCCGCCATGGTCAGCTCTGCCAGGGGAGGGCAGAGGAGAGGATGCCAGCTTCACCCCCCACCCCAACCCGTGGGCTTATTCACAGCGGGTCAGAGGGTGGATCCTGACAGCTGAGAATCCCTGGCTCGGGGATGCCCTGGTCATGTGAGCCAGTGCAGACTCACCCAGCCTCCCTGAGCTCCAGCGTCCTCATCTGTAAAATGGGCATGCACCGTGCCAACCTGAGGAACTATTTGTGATCAGGAATGTCAGGTCCTGAGGATAATGATAATGGGGCCCTGTGGTGACTCTGCAGGAAGTGCTCACATAAATCCTCAGAATAATTCCCACTCAATTCATTTTGAAATTTATCATTTGTATAAGCTTTTTTTCCTATCAAATACTTATACAGCACCTATGATCTGTAGGCATTGTTGTAAACACTTTATAAATATGAACTCTTCTCATCCTTACACTAATCTTAAGGAGGTGACTGCTACTATACTACCCATTTCACAGATGAGGAAACTGAGGCACAGAGCTAAGATGGGCAGAACTGGGGCTGCAACTTGGATATACTTCCTTCTTGGATGTGTTTGGTGGCAGCAGATCTAATCTTCCAGACAGGGCGGGGCCTCGGCACTGATCATTAGGCCAGGACAATTATCAAACTGCTCAGGCTACTGCGATGTCTCTCAATTTTACAACAGGTCACAGCCCACACGCAGGAGCAGCTACCACAGCTGTTGAGATGAACTGTTGCTGATGTTGGTATTTGGAAGAGAGGAAAGGGGGTTCCCACCAGCTCCTGCTTCATACCTGGTTTCTCCAGGTTAGACTCCCCAGGATGCTGTGTTCTTTCTCCCCAGGAGTGGTACATCCCCCTGGCCTCCTTCTGACCCAGTTCACATCTGGGCCCAGCTCTAGACACGCCAAGAAGTTCCCATTCAGAACCTTCGTCAGTGCAGACCGGGTCAGCAGCACTTACCCAAGTTGTGTTTCATTTCTGAGAGCTCCTGCTGGTGCAGCCACTGGAGTTTCTCTATCTCAATCCTCAGCCTGCGGATCTGTAAGAAGACAGAAGACTTATAAAGCACATCTGAGTGCCTGCTGCCAACAGGGCTCAGAAGCTCCAGCTCTTGCTATGGGTTAATGTCACATGCTGAGTCAAAGGGCAAGCAGCCTGGTCTCTGCTGGCCTCCCCCAGATGGGTGCCAGTGAGTTAATCCAAATTCATGAGAAATTCTGCTTCAAAAAACCAAATACAAGTGGTCTATCTTTTCCAAGAGATGTTCTAGGAAGAGCCATTTAAAGTGAAAAAGAAGACAGATTTTCAAAATAAATAGTACAGTGAATCCCCTACGTACGAACAAGTTCCATTCCTAGAGCCCATTCATAAGCCCAATTTGCTTGTAAGTCCAACAAAGTTAGCCTAAGCAACCAACTAACACAAGTGGCTGTATAGTCCAGTACCAGCTATATCACCGCTGCTTTTATACTTGCTTCTGGACACCCTGGGCTTGAAATAAAGATAATGTAATACTGTATTCTCTACAGTAAAGCACCAAGGCACAACCACTTGTGGAGGATGTATGCACATGACAATGTACGCCAGACACGTGAACTAACTTACGTAATCGGACATGCAAACATTCGCGTCTTTGAAGGTTCCCAATGTGAAGGTTCACACGTAAGAGATTTACTATATGTAAAAGCTTTGAGCAGGACTTTGGCCTAAAAAAATAAAACTAAAACATCCTAAAAACAGCTTTATCTCGGATCTAAAGTTTTGGGTGGGGGCCATAATCATTCACCTGAAATCCCAAAGCTTAACCATTCTGGAAACCATAGGGAATTTGGGGTGGAGGTAGGAGGAGTATATTTGGGGCCAAATTCATTTGGAGAGAAGAAAATATAAACCCAAACTGAACTGATACAAGGCTGCTGACAGTGTTTAATCATCACCATGGTTCTTAACTGGGATGACTTTTGCCCCCCTCCTCTGTCTATGACGCTGCAGTGCCTGGAGACATTCTGGGTTGTTTCTGGCATCCAGAGGGCAGAGACCAGGAATTCTGCTCAACATCCCAGACAGACAGGATGGCCCCCACCACGGCGAAACATCTGGCACCAACGTCAGGAGCTTCAAGGCTGAGAAATCCTGATTTTCCCAACATGGTGGGAACAATCGTACTGTACCACTGCAGAAATGTTGTCTCTAACTGTGAAAGGGAGCTGCATGTTACCTCGTTAAAATCTGGAATATTCTGACATCTTTCAAGACCCAAGGTTTCAGGTAACCCCACATCAATTAAATGAACAAAAAGGAATAAAGTATGACGACAGGTCAGGGGGAGGGAGAGGAGGTTTTCCTAAAAACAGCATTTGGCCTTGTTGTTTGACACCCCAGCATAACCATAAACATGGTCATATACCAAGATACCTAAAGAGGTTCATCGATTTTTCTTGGGACCTCCCTGAAATCTTTACATTCACACAGCTCTCCTGGGACTTCCCTGGCAGTCCAGTGGCTAAGATTCCAAGCCCCTAATGCAGAGGACACAGGTTCAATCCCTGCTCAGGGAACTAGGATCCTATAAGCGGCTCAGTGTGGCAAAAGAAAAAGCTGAAGCACACAGTTCTCTGTTTAAGGCCCATCAGAGCATCTTCCTGGAGACATCCCCCTCTTTTTCCGGGTGCCAGCCTCACTCTGCCTGCCCTCTCACATCAATGGCCCCACGTGGGGTTCCCCTCACTTTCCATCGTGACTTTCAATGATCTGAACAAGTCTTGCCACTTGTCATTTCCCCGAGGGACCCGGCTGCAGCCAGTCTGCACTGACATTATCCTAGGAAGAAAATTCAGGGAGGCTTTTCTTTAAAAAAAAAAAATAAGTGGTCACTTCCTAAGTGGATATTTCCATGTTTTAACCACTCCATTCTCTAAGTAATCACCTAAACTGAGGAAGCTTGGGATACTACCTCTTGAACACCAAGATCACTTGAATAAAAAAGTCCAAACCTCAGGAGATGATGAAGGAGCCAATTTCACATGGGGCCAAAATAACCGGATTCTGGTTTCGACAGTGGGTCAATCACCCGGGCTCTGGTTTCAGCTGTTCGGGTTAGAAGTGAGGTGATCGCAGAGAGCAGGGTGTATCTCCACAGCACCAGCTTCCCAGCCAACTGAAAAAATACCCTCAACACCGCCATCAAGGCAGAGCGAGCCTGGGGACCGGAGCCAGAACCTGAGAGGGGTTTCCAGAGAACTTCTTCAGGGCGCCCCCACATCAGCCCAGAGAAGATGCCCTGAGCAGACAGGAAGTGAAGAACGGGAGGGAGGCTCACGGGAGACGAGACACACGTGGACACAGCGCTGGTTCACGCTGTTGCGCAGCAGGAACTAAACAGCACTGCAAAGCAATTTCACTCCAGTTTTTAAAAACTTTTAAAAAATACATGAAACACAGATAACCACCACAAAAAAACAAGAATAACATGTGTCACCTCTGACCTCAGCTATGGTGCTTCCAGTAGTGTTCTTAGAAAGATCGTTATATATTTCTGTCATTGTGCCTTTTATTGCATCCATCATCTGAAAAGATAAAAACAGAAGTAATTTAGGTGATCAACTTCCCTTTAGACTTTTTCTAGATGACATATATCTAAAATCGATCTGTACACAGCAAAGGAAACCATAAACAAAACAAAAAGACAACCTTCACAATGGGAGAAAACATTTGCAAACGAAGCAACCAACAAGGAATTAACCTCCAAAAAGGAATTACTCTCCAAAATATCCAAACAGCTCATGCAGCTCAATATTAAAAAAACAACTCAATCAAAAAATGGGGGGGAAAGATCTAAATAGACATTTCTCCAGAGAAGACATACAAACACACGAAAAGATGCTCAAAACCACTGATGATTAGAGAAATGCAAATCAAAACTACCCTGAGGTGTCACCCTCACACCAGTCAGAATGGCCATCAACAAAAAAATCTTAAACCATAAATGCTTTGGAAACGGTGTGGAGAAAAGGGAACCCTCCTCCACTGTTGATGGGAACATAAATTGGTACAGCCACTAAAGAGAACTATATGGAGGTTCCTTAAAAAACTAAAAATAGAGCTACCATGTGAGCCAGCAATCCTACTCCTAGGCATGTATCTGAAGAAAACCATAATTCAAAAGGAGGCATGCGCCCCAATGCTCACCGTAGTGCTACTGACAATAGCCGGGGCATGGGCAAACCCTAAAATGTCCATTGACAGAGGAACGGATACAGAAGATGTACCTACATCCAACGGAGTACTACTCAGCCACAAAAAAGGCATGAAATAGTGCCATCTGCAGAGATGTGGCTGAACCTAGAGACCGTCATACAGAGTGAAGTAAGACAGATAAATATTGTCCAATATCGCTTCTATGTGGAAGCCAAGAAAATGGCAGGGATGAACTTACTGGCAAAGCAGCAACAGTCACAAATGTAGCAAACAAACTTTCGGCTACAAAAGGAGGGGTTGGGGGAGTGGGGAGATTCTGACTGGGAGACTGGGACTGACATTTATACACCACTACGTGCACAACAGATAACTCCCGAGAACCTACTGTCCAACACAGGGAACTCTCCTCAATGCTCTGCGGTGACCTAGAGGGGCACACACCCGCTGAGCCCTCCCACATGACAGGAGGGACAGGAGGGGACAGGAGACCAACCAGGCCTCAGATCTGGCCCAGCCACTGCCAAGACACCCCTGTGCTATGCAGTTTGCTCCAAGTCAGCAAGAAAACAGGACAAGGAGCACCCTTGTATCTGATGCCTGAGATTTCTTCCTGCCATTAAATCTTGCCATCCACAACTCTAAGCCCCAGGCATAAAACAAGGATAATAACACTGCCTGCCCCCTTGTAGGGTGTATACAAGGATTAAATGAGAAAAAGAGGAGACTGTGGTTCAGTATCTGCTGAGGAGTTCACAAAGAAATACCTGTTTTCTTATTTTCACAAAAGAATTAATTCTCAAAAACATGTGATCGCAAAACTGCTGCCAACCCCAGAAGAGTAACCCCCATTTCACCCCCAAAATAGGTGGAAAATGAATAAAGTATCTGTTGAAATATTAGTTCTCCCCCTTGTTGCAGGGACCACAGGGGGATGTTGCCAGCAAAAACACTTTGTGCTTTATGGTCAGCCATTCTGTACGGGCCTCCCTGCTCAGGTCCATTTAAAATATTCAAAGGAAATTGCTTTACGAGAAAACTTTAGAGAGTGGATGAAATCCAATACTTTACTAATGCCATAGTTACATTCCATTTTAAAGAAATCATGAATTTGTGGACTGACCTTCGTTCCCACTTCCAAATATAGCAAAGAACTCAACATTAATAAAAAGAGCCCTTCTGCCAAAACACACAAATCAGGGTCTTCAACTCTGGGTCACCTCAGACACAAGCAAGTTCACCAGCTCCAAAACTATGTCGCTGAGTTCATTTTCTTAACTGCAAAGAAAATGCCTATCAAAATGTTCATTCCTCAGTTTTGCCCCATGAGTAAGGGGGAGAACTGTAAGAGATGGAATAAAAAGGACTGCAGGAGCGGATAACACTGGCTTGGTGTGAACACCAGCCAGAGCTGCGTGGCAGCCTCAGTTTTCTCATCTGTAAATGGACAACTTGGACCAAATCAACAGAAGGCGATACAAGAAGTCCAATCAATGGCAAGCGAACGAGAAACCATCTGGGGGGACTTCCCTGGTGGTCCAGTGGCTAAGCTTCTGCACCAATGCAGGAGCCTGGGTCTGATTCCTAGTCAGAGAACAAGATTCCACATGCGAACTAAGAATCTGCACACCACAACTAAAGACCTGGAACAGCCAAATAGATAAATAATTTTAAAAAATAAATAAATAAGGAAAAGGAAGCCATTTAAGCAATACCAGACATCTTAAATCAGTCATTTTAAAAATTACCCTCTTGTAAATCTACAACAGATCTTGTTAGGAAGAAAGTCTCCACGTGGTACCATTAATTCTCTTTTTTTACTATAACTTATTTACACATTTATTTTTGGCTGTGCCGGGTCTTTGTTGCTTCACAAGCTCTGATCTAGGTGCAGTGAACGGGGGCTACTCTCTAGCTGCAGTGCACAGGCTTCTCACTGCGGCAGCTTCCTGTGTTGGATGGAGAGCACGGGCTCCAGGCACAGGCTTTAGTAGTTATGGCTTCCAGGCTCAGGAGCACAGGCTCGGGAGTTGTGGTACATGGGCTTAGTTGCTCTAGGCGTGTGGGAGCTTCCCGCATCAGGGGTGGAACCCGTGTCTCCTGCACTGGCAGGCGGATTCTTTACCAACAAGCCACCAGGGAAGCTTGCATTAATTCTTTAACACTTTCATGCTAATCACTCTTTTTAACAGAAGAAAGATGGGCTCAGGCTTCAATCCTTGAAGAACAGGATCTGGTGAGCATAGACTGAATTTTATTTCTGTTAAGTCACTATAAATGAAAACATGAAGTCAATCCTAGTTCAAGGTGATGAACAGGTAAGACAAAAACCCTGAGGATCCTCCAACTAATAAAAATAGTTGGGAAAAAAAAATTAAAAATAAAAGACCAACCACCAGTAAAAAAAAAAAAAAAAAAAAAAATCCTAAGGATGCAATCATACATAACAGGTGAACCCTTCCTGTTCTGAAACTCGGGGACTCGATAAAAATTCTTGTGTTTTATTCAAAAGCGGGGACCAGAAATACTAAATAAGAGATGTTACCCCCAGGCTTGGGTTTTCTCTCTTTGGCCACGCTGACTCAAGCAGGGTTGCTTTAAAAAGCCACCTGTAAGAACAATAGGTGGTCAGCAGGCCTGGTGTGAATTCACAAGACAACTCAAAGCCGGTCAAGCCGATACTGTATATCCTGGCTGCTACCATTCAAATGCCAGTTAGACGTTCACGGATTATGCGACCCTGGACAAGTGGTGTGGCCTGGCCAGTTCTCAGCGTGCTCATCTATAAAATGGGTGTGAGGACGTCCCTGGCAGTCCAGTGGTTGAGACTCTGCCTTCCACTGTGGGGGGTACAGGTCTGATTCCCTAGTCAGGAAGCTAAGATTCCACAAGCCTTGTAGTCAAAAAACCAAAACATTATAAAAAAAGGAAAGTAAAGCAATAGTGCAACAGATTCAATAAAGACTTTAAAAACTGTACAGATTAAAAAAAAAAGTTACTAATAAGAAGCCCAGTGAGAAGTTAGGCAGCAACCTGCTTTCATTTTACAACTAGGTATCAAGCTCTGTTCTAGGCCCCAGCAGAGAGCAGAAGGACTCCCCGGGGAGCTGCAATTCTGGTGGTGATTTTCACTCCCTGGGTTCTACAGACAGCAACCTGAACATCACTCCAGGGCACTCTCATCTGACAGTGAGGAGAGCTGCAAGCTTTACTTGCCCAAATTCAACAGTGAGCATGAAATCATGTGGCAAACTAAGAGAAAAGTGGAGAAGAGGAATATGGTGGGGGACAGGATGCATTGGGAGTCCGGGATTACCAGATGCAAACTATTATACATAGAATAAAAAAAAAACTATTATACATAGAATAAACAACAAGGTCTTCCTACGTAGCACAGGGAACTACAATCATTACCCTGTGATAAACCAGAATGGAAAGGAATATGAAAAAGTGTATGTGTATATAACTGAATCATTCTGCTATACAGTAGAAATTAAGACAACCCTGTACATCACCTATACTTCAATAGAACAAATTTTAAAAGAGAGAAGACAGAACCTGCAGAGAGGGTGCCTACAAGTGAACACAGAGCAGGCGAGCCTGCCCACCATACCCCTCCACAAGGAACATGCCAAGAGGACAGGTGAGTTGGGGAGGGACTCCACCCCTTCCCGATCCCCTCTAATTCCTGGAAAGATCCAAGGCGGGTCCTCCCCGGTCCCGCCACAGGCACTCACTTTGCTAGTGTACTTGGCGATGTCTGCAGCGACATCAGCTGAAGCGGTGGCGATGGGCAGGTCTGCGCTGACCGAAGATGCAAGGGTGCTCGTGGTCCCTGAGCTGGTGACCAGGGGCGACGACTGGGTGCTGGTCACCAGGGTAATGGTGGAGGTGGATGGGCTCTGCGTTATCTCTTTCTGCTGGACAGCTGGGAAAGCAAAGGTTCTTGGTCACCCCACTGCCTCGGGAAGGCTGTCCCAGCTCGAAGCTGTGGTGGGAGCAGGGCCCAATCCACACTGTTTGAGTTTCTCTGCTTTCAAGGGACAAAGATTCTCTCGTCAGCCAAACTCGAGCGAGGCTCCTCCAAGCCCTTTCTCAGCGGGGCCTCCACCTGGGTCTTTAAGGACTAATATGGTTTCCAACAGCGCAAGGCTGCATCCCTAGGATGACCCCACCCCTTTAAAGTCCCCACCTAAGAAAACTCAAGGCTGCCGATAGAATTGCCTATTTGCTCCAGTCAACACCTAACAATAGGGCCCAGTGCCCAGTCTCTGTGGAAGGGCAGAAGCCTACCTTTAAGAGGTACCAGAGTCAGCAAACCCAGACATTTCACATGGACCAACACCCCCTTGCCGCTTTGTGTAAAACTGTCCCTTTCTGACTCTACAGAGCCCCCACAATTCCCCTCCCTATTCCCAAATTCTCCCTTTAAAACCCCAGTCCCCTGTGTACACGTTGGAGTTGACTTCAGTTCATGCTGGCCAAGTTGCCCTACCGCAATAGTATATAGCAGATTAAAACGTATCTTAACTACTTCAACTAGTGGCCAGCCTTGTTTACCTTTAACAGGACAATCTGGGAATTAGGAACCACACTATCAGTGAGCTCCTTCTTGCCAGCTCCCAAGTTCCCCGGGAAGGCTCATTATACTTAAGGGCGATGATTCAGGAGACTGGAACTGACCCTCCCAACCTGAAAGATCCCAGACTCGGTTCTGCCCCAGCAGCTCTTCAGACAGCAGGATCAATCCGGCCGTACGTCCAATCGCTCAGTCTCCCTCCACCCCAATCTCAAGGGTTTCACTGGGGGCCCAGGTCAGGATCTGGCTACTCTTTCATTTCACAGCCTGCTGCAACTCTCAAGAGTTCTACACGCAACAGTGCACTCAGTACATGAGAGTTTCGATCAAGGAGCCCAACCATGAAGGATCTCAAGGCGGGTTTCCCCATGAAACAAGCCCTGTGTCAGTCCTCAAGAGAGCTGGACAAACTAGTACCCATCAGATCAGCGCTTTGTTCGGCTTTACATCAGCCTAGATGGAGCCGCCTGCTGGGAGCTGTATCCCACGCTTCAGCAACGGTTCCTGATGCTGGCTCTTCTTGCGTTGAGGGGCTAATCCCACTTATTAAGATATCCTTTACTATCCACTTCTCATACTGTACTCTTTCAAAAATAATGCCCAGGGGTTCATGGGCATGCAGAAGGAAACTTATACAAAGGTATTCATTGCAGCACTGCTTACAACAGGAAAAAACTGGAAGCAACCTAAATGTCTATCCGTAGAGGAATACTTTATTAAATAAACTGTGGAATACTACGCAGCAGTCCAAAAGAATCAGGGAGAGCTATACGTACTGACATGGATGGACCTCCAAAACATGCTGATGGGTGGGGGAAAAAAAAAGGCAAGGATGGTACCATTTTTATGTTTCCAAAAAGAAAAAAAAAAGTAATACCTTTATGAAGTCATATACATAAATATATATGCATACATGCATTAAAAAATGCATGATCTTATGGTTAACAATAACCTCTGAGAAAGGGTGGAGAATGAAATAGAACGTCAATCAAGACAGCATATTGTTGTGTGTCTAGGCATCTATTTCACCCCTTTCTAAGAAGACGTGCATGTACTGTTTATAAAATGAAAAAGGAAAAAGAAAAGTACAAAATGCAAGCTGCAAAACAATTTTTAAAAATAATGCCAAATGGAATGTGTCAGGCCTCCAGGATACGGTGGCGAGGCAACAAAGGGGAACTGAAAAAAATAAAACGAGGACGATTTTTCTCCTGTCCATGTGGCGAAAAGGGAGCGGGCGCCACGGAGAGCAGAGGGAGAAGGCTCGGTACCTTTCACAGCCTGTCTGGTCTGATATCTCGTCCCCTGGGAAGACTGAGGCTGCTGCTGCTGGCTTTGCTGCTGCTGCTGCTGCTGGCGCTGCATCTTCTGCATGTGCCACTTTTGGGAGGACGTTTGAAACTTACTTGATGAGTTCCACACGACCCGCTGCACGGCCGGGGCAGTCTCCTTCGGTAAAAGCGGCCTCTGCTTTTTCACCGGGCTTCCCGTGGTGGAGGTGGTGGCGGCGGAGGCGGCAGCCGGGGCCGTGACCGTGGACGTGGTGCTGGTGGTGGCCGGGACCCCAGCCGTGGGGGTTTGCGAGGATGAGCGGGTGAGAACCGGCGTTTCGGGGGGAGACTGGCTGCCCGCTGTGGTGGATGGTGGAGCTTTACCTACAACTGAAGCCAAGGCATGAAAAAACAAAACAGAAAATAGACGGGACTCAGGCTGACCTGCAGGGTCTCCAGGCCAGTGAGTTCTAGGCGACCATCCCAGGCTAGCATACCTCCCCATGAATGGGCACATTCTCACTTTATATGCTTAGGCCACTTCTGCAGCAGGTTCTAGCTTAAAACATCAGCCTCCTTGGGTTACTGCTTGCTCACATTTGAGATACTTGTCAAGGCCTCCAGGGGACTGAGGCCAACATGACCCAGCCCCCGGCCTGGAGTTGCCCACCTGCTAGTCGATGACCCAGTGGATGAACAGAATCTCTGCAAGTACCGCGTTTTACAAAGTTGAGTTCAGTAAGCAGTTTGAGAACAACTTCGCCAAAGCCCATCTGGAGATTAACAGGAATCCTTTCCTTGGCCAGGAAAACTACAGAGCATGTACCCCAAAGAACCAGACAGCCTCCCAATGGCCAAAGCATTGAACAATGAATCACCTAGTAATAAGAGTATTATTGTCTTTCATCTCTTCTAATTCCTTCCAGAATAGTCTCAGTGTGGTCCTGGCAGCCTTGACACCTAACACTCAAGGGAACTCCACCCCAAGGCCAGAACCTTCCCCAGCACAATGGTATTTATGGAGAATTTAGAAGCCTTGCTTTTGTTTCGACTGCAGTTATTCCTGTTACATCTTTTTGCAGAGCACAAAATATGGTTTCACCTACTGTGCGGTAGTCAAGTTTAAGTCCAAAATTGAGTTCAATTTTTTTTTAAAAGAGCTGCTGCTTCTGATAAAAATATATATTAAGTCAATAATTGTACGAGCAGGTCTTGGGAATGGCAAAAAGAATGAATGTGAGTAACTGGAGTTTGAAAAAAGCTGCCTTTTGGAGTGTATCTGCTGGGAGGAGCTAGGCTATGAGGGAGGAGGGCAGGATGTCAACAGGCTGCAGGGAGAATTTGGAGGGGAACAGTTTTAGCCAAGACATGCCCAGGAACAGGCAGCATTTTGGTGAGTGAGGGCAGGCAGTGAGACGGGCTGGTCGGAAGGCAGGTCAGAGCCAGAAGCCCTGAGCGGTGGAGAGGGGGTGACCACATGAGTGCTTGTCTGTAGGGGGCAGGGGGTCAGTCACTAATGCAGGGACCCCAGGCCCTGCAGAGATGAACCTGCGTCCCCAGAGAGGATTCCCTGGGGTTCACACAAAAAACACGGGTGCAAGTCAGCATCCTTGACCTCAGACGATGTGCCTGGACATCAAACTCTTTTCCATAGGACTGAAAGTGAAGTCGCTCAGTCGTGTCCGACTCATTTGCAACCCCATGGAGCCTGCCAGGCTCCTCTGTCCGTAGAATTTCCCGGGCAAGAATACTGGAGTGGGTTGCCTTTTCCTTCCCCAGGGGATCTTCCTGACCCAGGGAAAAAATCTGGGCCTCCTGCACTGCAGGCAGATTCTTTACTAGCTGAGCCACCGAGGAAGCCCTGAATAAGGACGACACCTTTTTCAAAAGGGGCTCAGCATGCTTCTGCCGCACGACTCCATGCCTGTCATTTTTAGATTTCTATCACCCAGAAAAGGCATGAGCTCTTGATCATTCTTGGGGAAATTTTTAGTTAACACTGGGTCTGGAAAAACCAAGGAGTGTGAAAGGAAAGGAGTGCTGACAGGCTGACCTTACTGCCTGGGGTTGGGGGTGTCTTGGTGGTTATCACAACTGACTGGCCCTCTTGCACCTCTGGGGAAAAATTTAGCCAAGGTCCTGGGCAAGAAAACAGGGCGGGGGCTGGGAAAAGATCTCTACCTAGAGTGAGGAGCCCCCATCCTTGCCCAGGACAACCTTCCAGATATCGGACACAGCCTCTGCCCCTTCCCCTTCCAGGCGCAAAGGTGGCTTTGAGCTTCGCCCTTCCAAAAAAGGCAGAGATCCCATAGGCAGGGCTTCTAACCTGCAAAAGCATCTTTAGTGCCTCTCTTTCCTGCCAAGGGATTAAAAAATACACTGCCCTTGTTGATTAGCTAGCCTGAACCCTCCTTGGGCAAAGGGCAACCACAGAAAGGTCTTTTTCTCTCTTTGATCTTGCAAAAGCAAACAGCTGGCTTTGTAGATGGGTTACTGCTCTGCAAAGAGTCCCATTGGAGCTCTTTTCCAAATTAAAAAAAAAAAAAAACAGGACTATGCATTCTGAAAGCATTCCAGGCTTGATGCACTCTTGCGGGGCAGGGCGGGAGGGTGGATTTCGGTTCACTTAGACACTAAAACATTTTAATTTCTAGAGGATGCTGATGGTTTATGGGGGTGGGTGGGCACTAGGGAGAGGAAGGGGCATGGAAAATTCCATTTGTCCTAAAAATTTGGGAGCGTATAATCACCTGTAGTCTCACAAAGAAGTTAATTTCTTAAAGGTCAACACTCCAAAAGTAACCCCACCCAACTAACCTACTTACACCAGACTTAGGTCACTGTCTTGTACATTAGAAAAGGACTTTTTAAGAGAAGGCTGGAAATGACTGATGCAACACAGGGAAGCACAGTCAAGGTCCTGAAGCGCGCTCCCTTAGCCTTTTCTCTGGGATCTCCAGCTAGAAAAGCAGCCTTTCTATCTGAGGATTCAGATTCTGTGTGCAAGCTGCACTCCTAACTGAAGATCAATTGGAGGTCACCAAGCACTCTCCAAAACACCCTTCACTTAATAAACTCGTAAGTGAAAGCACATTATTGAAAAGATGCTCAACTGCAGAGTCGGCCACAAAGTCAAAACCCAAATCATCCTCTGGTGCCTCTGGATTCCAACCCCTGCAAAGTTCCTCTAACTGAATTATGTTTCAGAATCATCCTATGCTTGAAAGTCCCACAACATACTCAGGGGCTCCTAGAGAAATCTGCTCCAGATACCAGTGAGAGGAACAGCTCAGCTTCATTTTATCAACTGGAGTGCCTTCTATTTAGCGGGGGACACATGAGATCTTTTAAGGTACTCATATGTGTTTCCCTTTTTGCTTTGACTACCAGGAAGCTCAGAGTCAAAATGGAAGCCTGACTTTGCTAATTCTGAAGGCTGAAATAGTTATTTCTGCATACAAATTTTCCCCAGATCGCTCACTATTCTATTTTCATCTTTCTCACTGATGTCTTGATTTCCCTTTTATCAGTATGTCACAAATCCTTTCTGGAAGGGGCAAAAAAAAACCCACAACCAAACAAAAGATCTATTCCAGAAAGAGAGGAATAGTATAAATGTATCATTCATAGGAACACTGCCATCTGGGACCTGACAATTCCACAAACTTCACAGAATAAATACTACTTCTGTTGCTTTCTGCAGCATCAGAAGTGGTCCCTCAAACCCCAATCCACAGAGAAATGGATGTTTCAGATGCCATTCGTAGTTTAAGGGATGGGGCAGTGATCCATCCTTCCTGACCCACTCAACTGCCTCTCTCTCTTCCTGCCCTGTATCACTGAGAGATGTTCCATCCTCTTTCAATGAAGTGCAGGAACTGAGGTTCCAGAACAGTTCATGTTGATCCAAACAGAGGGAAGATGCTCAAAGCCCATCCCCCTCCTGTCTAAGCAGCCAGACTAAGAAATCCCCAGGGGACACATAACTGAGACATTACCTCCTGTCAGAAGCTGTGTGTTGTCTGTTTAGTCACTAAGTCGTGTCCAGCTCTTTTGTGACCCCATGGACTATAGCCCACCAGGCTCCTCTGTCCATGGAATTCTCCAGGCAAGAATACTGGATTGTGTTGCCATTTCCTTCTCCAAGAGATCTTCCCGACCTAGGGATTGGACCTGTGTCTCCTGCATTGGCAGGAGGATGCTTTACCACTGAGCCACAGAATTAAACCTGGCTATCCCCTTATGTAACCCACAAAGTATAAGAGGTTTTACGGCTACAACCTCCAATTTGTCTTTTGGCCATGTCTCTCCTGGGCCCTTAATTAATTCTCCATGATCTTTCTTGGGCATATTGGAATCCCCTCACCACCCACTTGCTAAGCCAGCTGAGAAATTCGCTGACTGCTTCGCCCATGGGCCAAACATCCTTCAAATCATTCCCATGTTCCACTGGGGGGTCTGCCACCATACTTGGGATGCGGCGGGTTTGAGAGCAGCCACTGCTGGTTCGGTCCCTAACAGCAGCGAAGAGGGAACCACTAAGACTCAGGCAGCAGTACACAACTAGGGGAGATTTTGCTTTGTCAAGACCCTTTTGAAGGCCACCACTGGGTACATGCTACTGACATCCAGTTAGTGAAGGCCAGGGATACTGCCAAACATCTTCCAATACACAGGACAAAGAATTACCTGGCATAAAAAGCCAATAGCGCCAAGGTTAAGAGACCTCAGGCCCATGTCAGTTAAATGCAAATATGGCAGAACACGGGCTCAGGTGGGCATCATACAATAATGCCCCTTGGATTTCTAGAGGCCTTAAGAAGAACTCAGCAGTCGGGTGCCACCGACCCAAAAGGTCTTGTACTCTAGTAAGAAAATGCGTTTTGAGATGCCTGGGCAGTGTGAGGGGAGGTAAAGGAGAATAAACTCATCAAGGTCTTTAAACTGAACACTTTTAACAATTTCAGCCCTGTCCAATGTCTTAACATTGACAAACGCTTTAGGCATATAAGTGAACACATTGAAAAACAAACTGCTTAGGTGCAAAATGACTTGACTGCTAGAAACAACTACTACTTTCTAAGAGACTTCTTTTCCTGTGCTCAAAATCAACCACATTGGGTACTGAGAGGTAAAAGGTAGGGAGGCCCAGGTTAAGGCCTGGTCCTGCTCAGTAACTAGCCAGGTGACCAGGAGCCAATCCAAGCTCTGCTGTGCCACCCTTCATGAAGTCAGAGGGTAACATGACACGTGATACTACAAATGGCAAGGTGGCATTCTAAAACCAAATCAAGAAACCGGAAACTGGTGCAATCACTTACCCTCCTGCTTGGGAGATGGTTCTTTGGGTTCCTTCTTATTTTTTCGACCCTCCCGCCCAGAATGGTCTTCTCCTAAATCTATGACAAGTTCACTCTCTGAATCGGAGTCCAGGCCCAAATGCACTGTTGGGGAATCCGTCTCATCTTTTCCCTTCAGCTTATCCTTTGTGGGATGAGGTGAGGGTTTTGCTTTGTCTGAAAAGTCCTTCTCAGGCTGGGGGCTCGTCTTCTCCTTGACCGAGCTTGGGTCCGCTTTGTCGCTGGCTGGTGACGTGCTGACTTTCAGCTCCTCTTTCGTCTCCGCCGGGTTCGGCAATTTGGGCTTTTTTTTGACGGCAGATGGCTCTTTGTCCATCCGAGCCCCCTCTTTGTCTTCGGCCTCTTCTGGTTCGTTCTTGGACCTCTGCTCCTCATCACTGATAGAGTCACTACCGCTACTATCTGACTTCTCAGAATCCTCCGAATCACTGTGCTCGACAGCCGTATAAACATCTTCCGAGATTTCATTTATGCCTAAATTCAAAAAGAAAACCCAGCATGTGGCGTAGTCACAGAATAAAGAGCAGGAACAAAAAACGCAAACATTTTCCACGCCCAATGCTGGAATAAAAAAAAGAAACATTTCACATTGCATCACATTGGCCTGGTGGGGTTAGCAGCAGACTCAAGCTGCAGCTGACTACAGGTGACAAATGGAACTTGTCTGCAGGGGGTTTCAGTTAGTGACATTCCAAGATGACATGGGACCAAACAACATGAATTTCTAATTTATCCAGAGCTCAATCTTGGCAGCATGGGTAACTCACTGGGACACAGAGAATGGGAAGGGTGGGAGGGAATGCTACACAGGAGCTGTTAAAACGGACCCATTTTACAGATTAGAAAAAAAGAGGCCCTGAGAAATCACTTGTCCTGGGACACAGAGAAAACCAAGACAGAGAGGAGAGGCCAGACACATGGGTCGAGTCACCACTAGGGCTCTTCCCACAAATTTCCAAAGCATTAAGTCTTTTACCCTTTGTGTCCAGGACTCGAAGAAATAAGCCAAGGCTTACAGCAGGGGATGGAAACTCAAGCCCATGAGCCACTTGGGGCGAGCAGACGTGTTATTTAGGAAGCAATGGTTTGACCCAATGCTTTCCAGTATTTTGTTATTTGTTGTTTTTATTTTTAACTTAGAATGTGCTGGCCAATTCATAAATCCGGAAGTTTCACACAAAAACTAAGATGCTAGGCTTGTGCTGAAAGGGCAGAAGACCTGGCCACTCTGGGTCACAGGCCTGCAAGGCTGGCTGGGGCTGAGAACCACTGGCCCCTTTAGGTTGGGGGAGCACTGTCTCCGGGTGACCCAGCTGCCCAGCCCCCATCTGGCTCCCTGCCCTGAAGCAGAGTCAACCACCACTGCGCTTCTACTGTTTTTCTACTTGTAACCGAGTCCAGAGGAAAGTTACCCATTTCCATATCTCAAGCAAAAGGAGAAACGATAAAACAACAGGAGTTTCCTATATACACAAGCCAAAACGGGCAAAAGCCTATTTCTAACAATAGCTTCATTTAACCTGTTCATGTTTCCCACTCCTGGTAGCGAGCGTCATCCACCTGTAGGTAAATAATCCGATTCCCTACAATTCTGAAAAGAGGAAACCCCCATCAACTCTGTATTGTCTTCATTCTAGAGCAATGGTCACCATGAGTGGGGCCACGGAAGAGAAACTCGTAAAAGGGTAAGAGCCACAAAGAGCCCAGCAGAATCAGGAGTGAATTATATCCACCTCCTCCAGGGCTCAAATTGAGAGAATCTAAAAACCAAATCTGGTTTAACTTCTGGATCTCAGGGCTTGTGCAACTGGTAATTAAAGGCTGGACACCAGACTGACAAGCATGACCACACATGCTTGGATACTGGAGCCCAAAGAATATGAATTCAGACCCCTGCTCCTCTGCTTCTATGTAGTTGTGTGACCCTGAACGAGTGAACCACCTCTCTGAGCCTCCATTTCTTCTCCTGTACAATGGGTTTGATAATAGTATCAACCTTCCAGGACAATATATGCACAATGCAGGGGGCATAGGAAGTCCTCCATAAATCCTTATTACCAATAACAAACCAAGGAGCAAGACCAGCTGCTTAGAAGAACTCAAGAGGGATATAGCCTGCAAAATTTCATCCATGTCACTCAATGTCCTAACCAAACAGGCAACGCAGCAAGGAATGCTTTCCTCAGACAGCCTAAGTGACTCCCAACTACAGCTCCTTTCTCATCCAAAGGTCCAGAGCACCCAGTGACATGGAAACCTCACCTTGGACTGGCTTTCTCTACTGAGACCCAGCCAGCCCCTATTTCCTTATAAATGCCCTCCTGACTTTATTCACCTCTTCAACAAACATTCTAGAGCATTACTATGTGTATAAAACCAAGTATCTTGGAGAAGGCAAGTCTTTATAACATCTTTATAAGACAAACTTCTCTGCCCTCAAGGAGCTTCCATTCTAGATTGGGAGGAATACCCCTACACAAAAGGACCACTGATGCTTTGGAGCCACAAAGTACCAAAGGAGGTGGGCAGATGGGGGAGGGCAGTCAAGGAAGACTTCCTGGAGGAGGTGACGCCCAAGCTCAGCCTTAGGGATAGGATTCAGGTAGGCAGTGTAAAAAGGCAGGCAGCATGGGGACAAGGAAGGGAGGCAACAGATACAGAAGCAGGATGCATGTACCAGGGACGGGGCGGGGGGGCATGGCCCAGCCTGGAGGGGAAGGGTTTGTGTTGGGGACACTTGTGGGATACACATGATCCTGAAGTGGAGACACTGACATGTACAGAGAAGCACAACGGCAAACTCAGGAGGCTCTTCCTGCTTCCATACTTTCTTACAAGTAGCACCTCGAATCAGCAGGCTGCCACAATCAAAGAATGCACTCTGACAAACTCAAAATACCCCACTGAACAACTAACTAGCAAATCTGAAATATTCTGCCAGGAGAAATAATTTGTTGTTGGACAAACACACCGAAGTTAAACCTGCTGCGAAAAAAGCAGCCAGGATCGGGCTTTCATTTCATCCGGGTGGTACCCCTAAAGACAGTAATGACGGTGATAATGATATAAGCAAACCGAGACACATACCTAATTGTGCTTTGCAACTCTCTATCGTCTTGTCGAGATTTAGCTGGAATCTGCTGCGAATCTGTCGCTTGGGGGAGATGAGAGGAACAGGAGCAGACTGCTGCTGGACAGATTCACTCAGCTCTTTCAGGTCCATCTCGGCCTTGCTTCGATCTGGAAGACACCACCACCCCCTCGTGAGATCAGGCACTGGAGGGAACCAGCACATAACGCTAATCACTTGGCTTCTTCTCGAAAACACGCTTTTGAGCCCAGGAGGAAAAAAACCTAAAATGTCTCTTGTTTATCCCAACAATATTATCTATTTGAAGGCCTGGGCTGACTTGGTGATAAGAGCCTGAGAACATTTGGCAGGTTTCTACTGAACCATCGCCTGGGTTGCTTTCAATACGGAAAATGCACAATCCCAGCCAGATGGTTGGTTTCTAGGAAGCTCAGCGTCAACTGTGGATCCTTCAAAGTCAAAGGTTGCGCTCTGTTCAACCTCAGCAACAGCAGAAAAAGTGACACTGAGTCTAGCCAGTTGGCTTTGAATTTCAGGCCCAGATCAGAGCAGGCTTGTAACCTAGAGAGGCGCTGAGCCTTGCAGAGAACGTGTTGATAAAGACAGGGAACCCAGCTCCTCCTCTATCACAGAGACTTTGATCTTCGTCGATCCAGTCTGGAGCTCAAATTAGAAAGAAAGGGAAAACAGGAACTTCCCTAGTGGTACAAAGGCTAAGAATCCGTACTCCCAATGCAGGGGGCCCAGGTTCGATCTCTAGTCAGGGAACTAGATCCCACATGCCGCAACTAAGAGTTCACATGCCACCAAGGGGAAGGTCAAAGATCCCGCGTCTCACAAATAAGACCTGGCCTAGCCAAATAAATAAACAAATATTTAAGGAAAGGGAAAATACAAGACAGGCAGGCCCTCCAGCCAGTGCGCTGTACCTCCCTTTGGCTCCTGGCATCTATCTGAGGAAAGGGGACTGATTAGTCTTGGACATGAACCTGTGTCTTCCTGCTCAGGTAAGATGTCAACTCCTCCTCACCCTGACTGCAGGCAAAGGCCTCCACTTAATGACTCAGGTCTAAAGGTCCTGCCCGCCCCTACCCCACCTCCACCCCCGCGTCTGTCAGGGGTCTTTGTATGACCAAGCTGGCCCAGATTCCAAAGGATCCATGAGCTTGTATGTCCTGAACTCCTTCCCTACCCCCTCTGCTGCCTCCTCTAGTGACCCCCCCAAAACATAAAAAGGGGACAAAATGGTGGAAGCAGCAAAGGCCAGGAAAACAGTGAGAGACTCTGCAGGCAGGAAGCATGGTCTTTCACCCCGACATCACCTCCAACAGACCCCAAGCAGAGAATGCGCTTGGGGCCTGATAAGGGAATGGGGGGGCACCCAGCTCCTCTTCCCAATCCCTGAAAGCAGGTCAGGGTCAGAAAGGATGTGGGATCCCTCCAGGATCCATCAAGAACAAACATGAGCCAGCTGTGAGCTAGTCCCACCGAGTGTGAGCTCACAACCTGACTTCTCCCATCTCTTTGTCACCCCCAGAGTGCCAGCTCCGCCCACCAAACTGGTACAAAGGCCAAGATACAGGGCTCCTCCAAAGGCTTCATTCCTCCCCTTAACATGGCCCGTGCACTCCGCCCTGCACCCAAGAAGGGAGCATGCTCCTAACACCACACACCAGAGATTTACCCTTTTAAGGGGCCACAGGTAGTCTCCCCAAAGACCCACACAACCCACTCACAGATGACTAGAGCCACAAATTACTCCCAACGTCCTTTATCACCACAACGAGGCAAGAGTAGCAAGGGCCCTATTCCAGAGACACACTCGGGGTTGGCCACCAGGGAGATTCCAAAAGTGAGCTTTCAAAGCAAACAGGGACAGCATTCTTGTCATTAAAACAATGGCCCTAAAAAAACTAACCTGTGTGTGCACACATGTATTTGTCTGGCGTGTGTGCCCATGCTGATCAGGGGGCCTTCAGAGAGCCTCTCAGTGCCAGGACTAAAGATGCTTGCAAGGAGAATGGCTGAATGCACAACTACTTCAGAGGGGGAAGAATATTCACTCAATTCTACTGGAGAGGCATCTTTCAAAGTGAACAGAGAGAGTGAAAGAGATAAAAGAGAAAAAAAAGGGAGGAGGACGACTGGGGAACACAGAGAAACAGGAAGATCCGATTAAACAACAGTGTGATCAAGACTTAAAGACTTCATCTGCTGAGGCGAGAACATGACAGTAGAAGGGGAGGCCCGTCTTGTCATTTCTGCTCTCAGAAATGAAGCAGCACTGCATTCCAGAGGGAAAATGCAGGCAGCCTTGTCAAGCATAAAGTTGGAAAAGAAGTATCTCACAAAAATACTTTCCATGAAGTGGAGTAGCAGGAGATGGCGTTGTTGCCTATGTTAGAGGAGGACACCCTGTCCTCTACAACATTCCTGTGTGGTTAACAGATTCCACACAGCCGTTACAGAAAAACACAACTGACCATATCAGGCAAGGGTCAACCAATTTTTTCCATAAGGGGTCACAGAATAAATGAAGCTCTGCACGTATATAGGCTCTGCTGAGTGCCATAAAATAATGTGTTAAAGGAGTGTGGCTGCATTTCAATAAAACTTTATTTACAAAAACAAGTTGGGGGCCAGATCTGGTCCACAGGTTGGAAACTGTGCTGCACAATTGAAATTGCTCCCTGTCCAGTCCAGAGCTTTAAAAAAAAAAAACAAAAACCCTGACTACTCGGCCCCACCCCCAGAGACGGAATTCACCAGCCTGGGGAAGGCCTGAGCATTGGCCATAGAGGTTCCCCAGGTGTTTACAATTGGCAGGTAAGACTGTAAGCCCCTGTATTGGACCAATGTTGTCTGTGAGTAAAGAAAATGCCTCATGATTAGCCTTAAACCTTATGAATCCTGTGTGAAACGTTGGGGTTCATACAAACAGACCTACACGTCACGAGAATAATCAAGTATGAGCACCTATGAGCAAGTATGTTGACGGCCAGGGTGGGTTCTGCAGATATTCCCGATATAGAAGGGCAGAGGCGTACCTGTGTGTGTCTACACTGTGTTGTTTTCTTGTTTGTTTTTGCGTGTGTGCTGTCATGTCTGATTCTTTGCAACCCCATGGACTGCAGCCCACCAGGCTCCTCTGTCCATGAGATTTCCCAGGCAGGAATACTGGAATGGACTGCCATTTCCTTCTCCAGGGGATCTTCCTAACCCAGGAATCTGCACTGACAGGCAGAGTCTTTACCACAGTGCCACCTGGGAAGCCGAAAGGGCACGCTGCCTCCTCTGTGTGTCTACATAAGGGCAATCTCTAAATTTAGCCTAAAAACTGAATATTCATAAGCAGGAGGAATGAAAAGATAAAGCACTGTGTCTTTTCACAAAACCACTGAGTCAGTGAGCTATTCTGATGCTTATTCTAAGGAGAAACCACCAAAAGCGAGGGAGGGGGCTGCTCCAGGGTCCCTGAGAACGGACCTGCCGGAGTTAAGCCAGATGTAATTATCTTTCTCAAACTTTCAGCTGTGTGTGGACTCAAGTGTCCTCCACAGGGAGAAAAGATGAGCTTCTTTCTCATTTAGCTCCAAGAAGCTTATCAGGACTCCTACTTCTGCCCTTCTATATCGGGAATATCTGCAGAATCCACCCTGGCTGTCAACATTTTGAACTTCTCAGCTGGTAGGAAGACAGCTTAGGCTATAAATGGAAACCAGGGATTTGGGGGAAAAAAAAAAAAAAACACCTACACTAGAGAAAAAAGGCACGATCCACACATTGCTGGAGGGAGCATAAATCAGAACCACCCTTCAGAGGGCAATCTGGCAATATCTTTCCAAATGTCAGCAGCTCGAGGCCTCTGACCCGCAGCTCCTCTTCTAGGAACGTATCCTGTGGATTCACTCCCACCTGGGCAGAAGGGTCTTCATCACAGCTGTTTCCAACAGCAAAAATGGAGATCTACTCAATAACTAAAGTGCGTTGATGAATAAGTTACTGTTCACCTTTAAAGGGAATAAAATACAGCCTCTAAAATAACAGCAGCATAGCTCTCTGTGTGGTGGTATGGAAAGCCCATCTGTTTAATGAAAAGGAAAGTAGTCAGTCAAGGACATGAGCGCTGGTGTGGGGCAGAAGAGGAGGAAATGCAGATACTAATATACCTGTTCTCGGGCATGTGAGCCTAGTGGGGTGGGGGTGGGGGGCCAGGCGGGGTTCTGGCCCTGCAGAAAGTTCGACAGCAACCCTGACCTCCACCGGCTAGATGGCAGTAGCACTCACGCCCCCCCCCCCCCCAGCTGGGGCAGTAGAAAGGGGTCCAGGGGTTAGGACTCCACCTTCCACCGCAGGGAGCACAGGTTTGATCCCGGGTCAGGGGACTAAGACCCCACATGAGACACACAATGCAGCGCCCCCGCCCCGACTCCCTGCTCCAAAAGTGTCTCGACGTTGCTAAATGGGGACCAGATCAGCCAGACTGATGTCTAAAAGAGCTCTCCAAGGAGACCAAATAGAGCCGACATGGACAGAGGGTGGACCAAAAAACGGAGCCAACACTGGTCACTCTCTTTTTTGGCGGGCGGTGGGGGGAGGATAAAGAGTTAGAGGAACAGGTGATCAGAGGTGACAGGTATAGCCTGCCTCTTCATTAATCGTCTTTCTGTACTTTGACTTGGAGAAGGGAATGGCAATCCACGCCAGTATTCTCGCCTTAAGAAGAATTCCATGGACAGAAGAGCCTGGCGGGTTACAGGCCATGGAATCGTACTTTGAGTATCTGTTCCCGTGTGCATTCATTCCTTTTTTTTTTCAACAATTTTTTGCAACAATTTTCAACAATTTTTTTTTCTTCAATTGTGTGATTCCGCAAAAATCAGAACATACTGACGAACACCCAAGCCATCCCTGTAGTGTCCTGAGAGAAGACAAGCCAGCCTAGACATATGACGGACTAAAATCCCACTACCTAAAGCTCCAGCCGCAGGAGGAACAGCCATCATAACAAAGTGTTTTAAGGGCACTTCCTTGGTGGTCAGTGGTTAAGACCAAGCTTTCACTGCAGGGGGCACAGGTTCCATCTCTGATCCAGGAACTAAGATCCTGCATGCCATGAGTCATGCCCACCCCCTCAAAAAAAGTTTTAAAACAAAAATATAACCACTTCTTTTTAAGCTAAAAAAAAAAAAAACTCCTTCATGCAAAAGACACAGGCAGACTACAAAGAATGGTCTTTCAGGAAGCACAAGATAATGGCTCCTTCAAAGGAACAATATCTTTAGACAAGACACCTGGGCAGATGCTCTTATCAATCAGTAAAGCAGAGATCTTCCTCACCTCATTCACTCTTAAAATAAATCAAGACAACATCTGGAAAGCCGGGGTACCCAGCCCTGCATCCACATCCTCAAAGAATGCCTGGCATCCAAAGTCTTGCTTTCTGCTGGTGAGCAATGGTGGAAGATTAAAGTAGAGGAAAGTTTTCGGGTCTGAGGACATTCCATCATTGTCATCTCTGACAGGGCATCGAGGCACATTTTGTCACTAACAGTATGACGAACTGCTGAGTTTGTTGAGCCCAAAGCAAACACCGTGTATGAGACAGGAGGAGAGAAGATTCCCAGAGAAAGCAAAAAGGGGCCAAGGCGAAGGGAAGAAACACCCCCCACCCCACCCCCATCCCACCACCATGCCACAAACGCATTCCTACTCAGGACTCATTAACTGCCGGAGAGGCACAGAAGGAGCCAGAACCATCCACCTAACTTGGCTCCTTATTTTAGAGCAGAGAGAAGGGGCCCAAGACAGCAAGTGAGGCCCAGGGTGTCAGCAAGGAGGCCTTCCCCCCGTCATGCTGGAAAATAAATCATAAGAGTATCCAACTGGTACTCAACCAGTGGGCTGGCTGTATTTCTGGCTGTACTTGTTTCTTTGGTCTAGAGAGAGATGGGTGGGTTTGTTTATATATTTACTTACTTCCTTGTTTATCTATTTTAATTTGCTTGCGGGATTTTAGTTCCCTGAGCAGGGATCAAACCCTTACCCTTGGCAGTGAAAGCACAGTCCTAGACACTGAACCTCCAGGAAATCCCCAAACAGAAGTTTTTAATGAAACTGAAGGTCAACTTTTAAAACCTAGAAGAGCTCACATTAAAAACCTGGATTTCTGTTTTTCTTGAAAGTTCAGGGTTGGACAGCACAAGTTCAATGGGTGGGCGCTGCTTCCTTGAAAAAAGCACTTTTTGCTTCATTCCACTGCCATCCAAATCCTCACCTGATCCCTGACCCCTACAGCTGGGCCAACGAACCCTACAGCACTAAGCGGTGAGAGCCCATGAAAGTGAAAATACGCCCTGTCCTACAGCCCTGCCGTTCATGTGTCTTGGATAAAAACACGAGCTACATGGCAGACAGGTCCAAATCTAAAGGCCAAACTCAACCACAAACCATGTGTGATCCTGGGTAGGTAACTTTATTTCTCTGTGCAATGGGGCTATTACCTTACCTTGAAGGTCACTGTATATTCTTTAATAGTTTTCACATACAGAGAGTAAAATTCACTTTTTGGAGAATACACGAATTTTAACACCTGTGCAGATGCAAGTAACCACCAGAATGCAGAACAATTCCATCTACCAAAGAATCCCTTTGTGATGTATAGCCAAACCCTCCCCCACTCCAGGCAATAACAGATCTTTTTTGCCATCTCTATAATTTTGCCTTTTCTAGTTTTGGCTTTTGTTTTGCTTCTTAATGAAACACTATTTTGTTAGATAGAATAATGTCATTGTTATCCCTGGCACTGTCTCACTTCTCTCTGCTCAAAGTAGTTATGTGGATGCCAGACATCAAGTGCCATGAGAATTATTATTTCCCTCCACTTTCTGATTTTTCTACCCATTCACAGCACTTTTCACCAGTCCTATCTGATCCTCTTGGCATGGGGTAACTGAAATTCCAGCCCATAAACTGCCAACATTGCCAATGCTTTTGTTTCCACTGACATGAAGCCTATGTCCCAGGAATGGAAGGAGCTGGCAGGGGGCTTCTGCAAAGAGAGCCTGGGACTCCGCCGTGCCCACCACTGATACACACGCCAAAAGAAAACCTTTCTTTCCCACCGCCTGACTCAAGTCAAACAGAAAGACCCAGAACAGTGCACAGATGCCCAAGGACAGCCTCGATTAGGGAAGGAGCTAGTCCTGCCATGCAAGACTGGCGATTAGGAAGGGTGACCGTGAGAACGCCTCCATACAGCTTTCTTTTTGAGGGTGTGGAGGAGAGTGTGAGAAAGCAAACCACACTGCTGACTGAGAACAGGAGTGATCCCAGGGGGTGGCGGGGGGGGCGGCAGCAGCGGCGGCAGATGGGTCCTCGTGGGTTCAAATAAGGAGTTCCTGCCGGCCAACCTGAGCAGGAGCCCCTCAAGCCACTGCCCAGCCTGTCCTGTCACTTCTGGGTGGCACAAACAGGCGATGGGGGTGAACATGGCCTCCGCCTCCGTGGGGACAGAGACATGCCCCAGCCCCACCACCTCTGCCTCTGCAATCCCGGTCCCCAGGGCCCCCTCTCCAGGCCTCAGTTCCTCCATCCGAAAATGGCATCTCAGGACAAGATGAGCCCAGAGGGCACTGACCACCAGAGCCTGTGGATTCAGGCTGGAGCATTCAGGTGGCTTCCCCTCCCTCCCTAAAACCTGGCATATTCAAGGCCTCTGGATAACACACCCCAAGTGTTGCTTTCTGTTTGTCTCCGGCTCCTTTCTCAGTCTCCTCTGCTCACTTTTCCTAAGGTCTACCTGCACAAATGGGCTACCCTGATGGCAAAGAACCCACATGCCAAAGCAGGAGACACAGGTTCAACCCCTGGGTCGGGAAGATCCCCTGGAGAAAGAAATGGCAACCCACTCCAGTGTTTTTGCCTGGAAAAATCCCATGGACAGAGGAGCCTGGGGGGCTATGGTCCATGGGGTTGCAGAGAGTCAGACATGACTGGGCCACTAAACAACAATGTGCAAGTGGCTCAGGCCTCTCACTCTCTTTATGCTCTGGGCCACAGTCTCTGAACCTCAGCACTGCCGCCGTCGCAGCTGGATAACTCTCTGTCGTGGGGACTGTTCTGTGCACCGCAGAGTTTAGCAGCATCCCCGGTGGGCAATCACATGCCAGCAGCATCTCTCCTTCCCCACTTCCCCCAAGTTATGAGACCTACTGCTCGGAATCCAATACCATGAATAAATCAATATTCTCAGAAATACACATTCTGCCCTGACCCAGCCTGATTCAGGCCTCCACCTGCCCTCACATCCTCTCCACCTAGGAATCTAGCAGGCATCTCAAACTTACGAAACTGAAAACTGAGCCCTTGGCTCCTGTTTCTCCTGCTGTAACCAAATCTGTCAAACCAGGCACAATCCAGCAACTCTCTGTTGCGGGGCCTGCTCTAGATGCTGGTAGCTACAGCCTCCCCAGCGAGCTGCAACAACTGAAAATGTCTCCAGACATTGCCAGTGTCCCCTGGGATGACGGGGGAGCTGTCCCTGGTGAAGAATGGCTGACACAGGCTAATTCCCAACAGAGCACTCAGAGAGGCCCTTCTAAATTGCCCGGTCACATCACTCCTCTGCTCAGATGGCCCCCCCCAAGGTCCACAAGGTCACTGCGTTCTCTGACCTCAACGCCTCACCTCCTGCCCTTCACCCACTGGGTTATGTCACTGGGCTCCCTTACCATTCCTACAACACACCAAGTTCAGACTGATCCTAAGGCCTTGACATTCCTCTTCCTTCTAGAATGTTCTTCCTCATAATCTGGGCATGATTAGCTTTTCTTGTAACTGACCCCCTTGCCCCTTGACAGGATATCACCTCCCCAGAGGCTTTCCCTAACCACTGCCTCTTGCTCCCCGCCCCCCGCCATCCTGCCCAGCTCTCTCCTTATCAAAGGAACGCTTTTTACCTTCCATGGTGACATGACCTGTCTTGGTTTTTTTCAGTTTGATTATTATTTCTCCCTCTCTAGAACCTAACTCCACAAGAGAGCAAGGCCCTCACTCACCACTCTCTGCCCCAGGCCAAAAACAGTGCATAGCACATAATAGATGCTCAATCAAAATCCGGGCTCATGATGGAATGAATTAATAAAAGAACTTCATAGTTGAGTGTTTAGCATTCCTGGTGCCAAGTTTTGTTAAAGACTTTGACCTGAGATAACGCTTTTGAAAGAATCTACTGAGACTCAGTAAGTTTTTTAAAAGAAAGTAAATACTGATTCATAAAACAATAGATACTATGTGTATACATATAACTTTAAATATACATATTTACACATGTAAGAACTGGGTTACTGTGGTCAAGGGCAAGTAAGGTGGTAAACACTGGCCTAAAGTATTTCAAAATAAAACAGTCTTGCATTTCAACAAGTCCCAAGCAATGCTGTGCCAGTTCCTTCTATTGATCTCTCTTCATCTCCATCCACTATACCTTTTTAATATTTTGCACAGAGAAAAGAGTGGTTCAAGAACCACACACGGGGACTTCCCTGGTGGTCCAGTGGTTAAGACTCCGTGCTTCTAATGCAGGGGGCAAAGGTTCAACCTCTGGTCGGGGAACTAGGATCCCACATAGTCAAAAACAAATAAAATAAAATAAAAATACCAGTCTTAAAAAAAAAAAGAACCACACACAAAAGAGGACATTATAACTTGCAGAAATATACATAGCTGCCACAGAAAGGAGCTTCCCAAAATTTCAACTGACCCAGGTTCAGATTCAGGATGCTTCCCGTGGTGGATGTCTTGTCCGTTTTCGTGGTGACTGGCGTTGATACTTGAGGAGAGAAAGGTTTCGGGCTGCCGGATAAACTCCCCGCTTGTCCTGTCTTGGTGGAAGCTGGTGAAGCTGAAAAAGCAGGTTACTTGTTAAAAGACAGATTTACAAATAAAGGAACATATAAAGCTTGTAGGTGTAGGGTAGAGAAGAGAGTACAGAAACTGTATTTGATTTCAACCAGACCCCCAGAGCACCACAGAGGGGTTGGAGCGGGAAGGGCTGGCCATTTATTTCGAGCAAAGAGCTTTAACCCAATGTTAAACCGTTAAAGCCACGAAGGAAAAAGGCCACCCCAGTCATTCTATTAAACACAAAGCTCTAAGACAAATCGGCTAAGCTGCCACTGAAATTGGTTTGGCCCATTCACGGGTGTAAATCTCAAAATAAAGAGCGATTAAACCAGCCCCCACCACAGTCCAGATGCAGGGACCAGAGCCAGGCTTACAAATGGCATGTCATCCGTTTGTGGGAGACACAGGGGCCGTGCGCAGTCACTGCACCTGCCAGGGGCCAGCTCGACCCGCTGAGGGCTCGTGGGCTTCCCATTTCAAAGGTCCTGCGATGCTGAACGAAGCCAACTCCACACCAGATGGAGTGAGGGAGTGGCTGGTCAATTGTCAGCCTCCTTATTGGGTTTCAAACTTTTACAGGACAGAGTCATACCTGTGCCCGAGTCTTCTAAAAAGAAGTTAAAATTCCCTCCTTACTGCTCCCCTGAGCCCTATCCACTGGGTGGTGGGAAGCAGGACAAAAGCCAAACCATTAACAAAACAAAGCGTTCGGATGGGCCAACTGGGACCTGCCAAGGATCTCTGAGACACCGCCCGTTTGCAGCAATGGCTCTATATTACTGGGCGGTCTTGTTGGTATAAACATGTGACAGGGACTTCACTGGTGGTCCAGTGGCTAAGACTCTGCGCTCCCAGTACAGGGGGCCCAGGTTCTATCCCCAGTCAGGGCACTAGATCCCATGTGCTGCAACTAAAGATCCTGAGTGCTACAACTAAGACTCAATGCAGCCGAAACAAATAAACAAACATTAAAAAACAAACAAACGACGTGTGACAAGCAACCAAATGATTGTGCATTCCCTCAGACACACAAGAAACCTCAAGAAAGCTGTGGCTGGTGATGGGTTTAGAATTGAGACATCCCAAGGACTTCAAACGTGCTTGGACACGCTGGTGGGTTCTTGCCTTCGTTTCCTCATCTGCCAAACAGGGATCCTCAGAGTGAGGATTTAACGGATTTAACTCTACACCAAGTTCAGCCGGTCAACCTACATGAGCCAGCCTCAGCTCCAGAGCCAAGACCTGCCAATGCTGTTTTTAGCACAACAGAGTGGGAAAGACTCTAGACGCAGGGAGCAATGGATCCAAGCACAGATCAGGAGCCAGAAGCAAGGTTCAAATCCCAGCTCTGCGGCTGACATACTGTGTGACTTTGGGCAAGTGACTTAATGTCTCTGAATCTCCTTTCCTGAGAGCTACAAGGAGGGACACTGATAATATTAATACCGAAGGACTGATCAAAGTACCCAACTTGGGGACTTCCATGGTGGTCCAGTGGCTAAGCCTCCATGCTCCCAATGCAGGGGGCCTGGGTTCGATCCCTGGTCAGGGAACTAGATTCCACATTCCACAACTAAGAGTTCTCATGCTGCAACTAAAGATCCTACATTCCACATTTAAAAGATCCTGAGTGATGCAACTAAGAGCTGGCGCAGCCAAATAAAGTTTTTTTGAAGTCACTAAAAAAGCAACAAAAAAAGCACCTAACTCATCAACCATAAGGAACAAATAAATTCATCAATTATCTAAACAATGCCTGATCTCTATTAATTACTATATTATCATGTGCTATTAGTGTCATATTATTTCCCCATTAACCTCTAGGGTTTTGATTTCAAGCATCTAACCTGTGACTCTCAGCCAGGAGCGACTCTGCCCTCCAAGGTGCAGTGGGCAGTGTCTATAAACATTTTTGTTTGTCACAGCTGGGGAGGGCGGTGCTCTGGAATCTAGTAGGTAGAGACCAGGGCTGCTGCTAAACATCCTATGATGCATAGCACTCCCCACCCACCCAGAACAAATAATTATCTTTGGCCTCAAATGTTAACAGTGCTGAGGTTGATAAATCCATACAGGGATGAAGGAGGTGTGTCTCCAGGAAACCTTTACCTCATTTGCAAATAAGGTGAGGAGGCTGGAATGAGATAAGCAAATACATGCCAACTGGGGCTTGGCAAGTGCTCAATAAACATTTGACATTATCTTGAGAATTTAAGTTGTTTAAAAATATAAACTATAATCAGTCTCACTGGAAGGATTAAATGCCCTGCTCCAGCACCTGGCAGACAACATCCTCTCAAATGATGACCTTGATTCCCACTTGTCCTCTAACTGCAGCACTGTAACAAGCAGAAATGCTTGTCACACAAAGAAGTAAGAATAAAGAAAGAAAGCCATTTCAAAAGATGTAAGTAGTAACAACAAAATCTTCAGCATTAGGACTTTTAAATTATTCTTACTCATTCATGTACGTTCTGTTTCCAAAAGAGATGAGCAGTGGCTGAAAATATCAGGGTAGTGTGTTCCCTCCACAAGGATTAAAGCCAGGGCCTTTTTAGTTGTATTCCCTTAAGTAAATGAGGGAGCAGGTCTCCAGGGAGGCTCTTAGCGCCCTCCAGAAGTTCTGCTTGTGGCTGCAGGCAAGGCTGACAAGGAACTCTAACCCCAAAGGAACGAAAAGCCTGCAAAAGTGTGGGGTCACACGGAGAACTCAAGCAAGTAGAGTCCATATTTCCCTTCTTAACAGATCAAGTTACAAAAGTAAGAAGCAGCAGCCGACAGGCGGTCTAGCAGAGCTCTCCCCCACTGAAGGCCTGCTGCAGGGAATTTACCAAGAACACAGGGAAAGTCATTAGTTTTATAAGTGTGTGTGTGTGTGTGTATACTCATGAAGTTAAAAAATAACTGGAAAAATGAGCCTTTAATTTCACCAAGTTTCCTTTGTTAATAAAACTTAAGTATTGAAGGTTTAATAAACATGTCTAAACCATGCCTCACCCAGTCCTTCAGCGAGGCCTCTGCACACCACTTCGAAAATATAGCCAAATCTCCCCACTTATCTCCACCCCCATCTCCAGGGTTATCACCCTAGTCCATGAATTCTGAACAGGGGTAATGTGGCCCCCAAAAAATAGATCTTAGGGGCTGAGCTGAAAAAAATCTTACTTTTTATGTATATAAAGCCCATATACAGTATGTCATGGGACATACAATACTTTCAAATTTCATAAGGGTCCACTCTTAGATATAGAGCCCAAAGAACTGAAGACTTGCACTCACACGACACCTCTAGGCAGCCCTATTCACCACAGCCCAAAGACAGAAACAACCGAAATATCCATCAAGAGACAGACAAGCCACGGAGCAAAGGAATGAAGCTCGGACACCTGCTCCAGCGTGGGAGACTTTGAAAACATCAGATGAAGTGAGAGGAGCCAGACACAAAGGTCACGTTTCACAGGATTTCACTGAAATGAAATGTCCGGAATGGGCACATTCATACAGACAGAATGCAATCTGGTGGCTGGCAGGGGTGGGTTGAGAGAAGGATGGGGCAGGGGAGCCAGAGGGATGAGGAGGGGTGGCTTGGTAGATACAGGATTTGATTCTGCAGTGACAGAGAAGTTTTGGATCAAGTTAACAGTGGCGACTGCACAATATCACACAATGCTGTGACTGCACTAAATACCGTTGAATTGTTGGCTTTGAAATGATCGATCTTGTTATGTGACTCTCACCTCTACTTCAAAAAATTCATGGGAGGACAATTAGGAAGAAAGTGTCAAAAAAGGCTCCTTAGGGGGTGATAATCAAAGGAAATTTAAAAAATGGTTGGGAAACACTGCCCTTACCTACCATTTCCACAGAGACCCTGAAAAGTTTCCCACTGGTTCCCCCAACCACCTGCCACAGCACCCCTCTCCAGGGGCACCTCCACCTAGCAGCTTTGAGGCCCCTAAAACAAGGAAAGAGAACATCCAGGGATGTCCTGCCTGCCAGCATGAAAGCCAACGACCTTTCCTCGTCTCTTTCTGGAATCTCCAGCCTCTTATAGACTCTTGTGCTTAGCCCCTCCAAGATCAAGTCTGCTCCTACCTCAAACCTTTACACTTGGGATTTCCCAGGAAAGAAACCCTCCCCCCTACCCACCACTCCCACTCAGACCATACTGGCTGGCAGTCGTCTATATTTGGGTCCAACACCACCTCCTTGAAGCCCTCCCTGCTGGTCCCACCTAAGGTGGCCCTGGAGGCCCTTTTGCCTTAAGAATACCAGCTCCACAAGCGCAGGCTCCTTGCCGGCCTCTGACACTGCCAGGCGCCTGAGACGACAGAATGAGTCGATATGTGAGATGATTAATTGAAGAATCAGGTCTCTATTTCTCTTCTCATGACTGTGGTCACAATAAGCAATAAAGAAATGATAATGACAATCAAAATGAAACCTCTCCCATACAAAGGTGCCAATGTACACCATCTCCTCGATATTCTGCAGCTACTGAAGGCATTCTGAGTGATTAAGCATCCAAGGGAGAAACGTGGATAAGTAGCCCACAGAAAAAATACAAAAGCTTAAGAAGCACATTTAGAGAGAAACTTGACTTGGATATAAATAAACGGTAAACTCAGCTAAAGAGGCACGGAGATAAACAGATACAGTCTGTCTATTTATAGGTTCTATCCTACAGCCTGTTCATCTGCATGGTACACTTGTTACAAAAAATAACACCTTGGGCCTTCAAGGACTCTCTGCTCCCAAGGCAGGGGGCCTGCGTTTGATCACTGGTCAGGGTACTAGATCCCACATGCCTCAACTAAGAGTTTGCATATGGCAATTAAAAAAAAAAAAAAAAATCCCGCATGCCACAACAAAGACTGAAGATCTAGCATGCTGCAACTAAAATCTGATGCAGTCAAATAAACAAATATTTAAAAAAATAAAAATGAAACATACAAGGCATACAAGGAATTCCCTGGCAGCCCAGTGGTGAAGACTGCA